GTGGGGGGTGGCGGTTGTCCCAGGCGAGTCATCGTGTGTGCGGGCGGGCGGGGAGGCGCCATGTTGTAGGCCGCGGTGGGTCGTTGCTTGGTGTAGTTAATCCCAGGGGGAATCACCTGTTGGGTTCCCCGGAGGGGGGTAGGGTGGGTGAGGAGGGGTTGTAGGGTTTAAATTTGGGTAAGTAGCACACCGGGGCGTTAGGTTGTTCCCGGTCCGTGTTAACAGTGCGGTGATGGGATCTGCGGATGCTGTTTCTTGGGTAAAACCAGTGCAGAATTGTAGTCAGAGGTAACCTGAACGTGAAAACACTCCTCTTTCCTTCTGTGGAAATAAGATATGTGTACACCCTCACTTTATTTTCTGTCATTTTTACTTTTTGGCATGTCTCTATCTTACCTACCTGTTGAAAACTCACCTCTGACATAAAACATTCTGAAGCAAACAAGAAATGATTCATTTCACTTGGCTTTTTGGTATTTTCTTAAATGGCTCGCCGGAGGATATAGAAAACCATTGCTGAGGTTTTTTAATGACAAAACTGGATTGCTTTCTGCATCAGTGACGCTGTGCTTCGAGAAACCTACTGCTGGGTTGTGGGAGGTTCCCGTATGGCGCTTATCTTTATATATACAAGTACCCTCTGGGTTTACAGACGTGTTTTGCAAGGTTGGAGGGCAGTCTTTTCCTGTAATAACTGAATGTTTAATTGAGAGGATAAATGTTTTTTGGGTTTGGGTTTTTTCTTGTTTCATAACATTAAAATATGTGGAAGAAAAGAGTCTGTTTCAAAGTCAACATTTCTCTTTTCAATTAAAGCCCATAGAAAGTTCCCAAAGAATGAGTCACGCAGCTGGTTTCCCAGTAAGAACAAGGAACACAAGGTTCACCAATTTTGTTATTTTATGAAGGTTAAGAAAGGGAAAAAAAGTTGCAGGAATGTTCTTAGATATTTTTTTTCCCCTTAATGAAAACCGTACGCTTATTCTCTAAAAACAATAAACTCAAATTACTATAGCTCTCTCACTGTTTTAAAGAAATTACTTGCTGCCATTTGAAAAGTACTGTAGATATCATTGAAACCTGCAAAGGAAGCTTAAAGTGGAAGAACACGTTTCTTTTTTCTTTTTAATGGATAACCAAAAAGGAAACATAGTGTTTGTATAAACACAGGTTTCGAACTATGCACATGTTTAATTTTCTGGCTGTGGTTAGTCCTGTTGAAATTGGACAGGAGATAGCATATATGCATAAAATTAATCATGTGTACAATGGCTGCAGGCTCTACTGAGGTGACGTAGTGAAGGCTACCGGGATAGACCTAGGGACTAGACAGGCCCTGGAGGCTTCCTTCTGCAAATATGTACATTCTGAAAGTAAACTAGGGAGTTTTGGTCTCCTGTCTGCTGTTAGTGGTTAGCAGCATTCTTCGGGATTTCCTCAACTAATATTTCCTTTGCTGCAGTGTACAAAGGCTGCTTTCAGGATGAAAGCTTGATTGTGTTAAACACTGCTCAAGCATATAGAAATGCATGATATCTGCAACAAAAGTACACATCCTATCAATGTATTATGTTTATTAAAATGTGGGATAGCTGAGCTGAAGAACAGCAATGGGTTTCCATTTTCTCATGGTTAAGTAGCTGGTTGGGTATATGGCATGCATGATTGTCATTTGCTTACTGACAAACTACAAAAGCCTCTGATAGTCAAGCTGTGTTAAAGCTGGGTTACTGGTGAAACTGGTGTCAGAGTCCGATACTCTGACCAAGTTGTTTTGGATATTCCACACAAGAAGGGTTTAATGCTTTAGTACCAAGTTTGCTTATTGGAAGATATTTGATGTTACACAGGAATTTGATTTAGCCTAGTGATACAGCAGTCTCCTGAAATCGTAACACAAGCACGTAACATAGAAACTGCAACTTACAGTTGAACCACAAAACAAACAGCATGCCCATTACCAGTACCTGTATGCTCAACATCACAATGTTGGGAGTCCCCAGTTGCCGGGAAGGAACACGTTGCTGGAAGCCAGCTCAAGCTCCCTGCTCTCTTCAAAATTTCTTTCATTAGTTTGTGAGTTTTGGTGCTCTGTGTTGGGATGAGCTGCATAGACACTTCCCCCATGTTGGTCTGGCTAACTCAGAAAGATAATACTTCCTATTGATTGTTTTCGGGAAGGCCATTTGCACAGCCAGTTGTCCCACTCTGCAGATAGAGCTGTTCCTCTAAAACAAAGGCCACCTTCTGCTCCCCTTTGTGTTGAGAGAAGTTCAGCTTTCTGTACAACAGCTGTCGCCACTTGCTATTTTATTTATGAGCACTTGCCTGTCTTCTCTGAGCCTTCTTCCATTGTGGGGGTTTGTCGACGGTTCACAACTGGAAAGCAAGGGGTGATGCAAATACAGAAGTTTGGCTATCCAGTTGATAAAATGTTTGTGGTTTTTTGTTTTTTTTTTTCCCCTTCTTTAGCATTGACTCTGAAGTTTTTACTCTCCTTGTTCAATAGTGATGAGGGTACTTAACTAAGATAGCTGCACACAAGCTGTCTTTGATTCCTGATTGTGATACAGGCCTGGATATAAGAGGATGAAAGTGACTCTGTGGTTTATGGAAGTTATGTGTTGATGTCCTGCAGTTGTAAATGAGGCTAGCACATTGCTGCTTTGACCAGAACATCCTCTAAAATAGGTGCTTGGTTTATGAGCATGGTCATTGGTACATGTGGAATGGTTTAGTTTACAGTCTTCAGCTGTTGATTTCTCCCTTCCAGTAAGGTCACCACTGTCACATTCAGTGAAGCGTGCATGATCCCACGTAGCTTATTAGTCAATATGCCAATTTGGTAACAAAGTTTTCTGTGTTCAGAATATGTTGGTTTTCTTTGAGAAGCCTCTGTCATCCAAGGTGTTAATTCTCCTCGTTATCTCTTTCTCTCAAGGTTTGGACATCTAAGTGTGGCTCACATCTTGTTGGAGAATGGTGCTGATCTCAATGCGCAGAACAAGTTAGGAGCCAGTGTCCTTACAATGGCCTCCAGAGGCGGCCACATCAGCATGGTGAAATTATTGCTGGAATCTGGAGCTTTTGTGGACAATTATGACCATTTTAGCACAAACGTACTTAGCAGCAGCAGAGACGACCTACCCGATATCACTCCACTAATGGCAGCTGCTCAGCATGGACATGAGGCAGTGGTACATCTGTTACTAGACTGGGGAGCTGACTGTAATTACGCTGTGAAGACTATGGGCTGGAGTCCTTTAATGCTGGCAGCTGTTAGTGGAAAGGTGAGCTTGGCACAACAGCTCATGGAGAAGGGTGCCAATCCAGATCACCTGAATGTACTACATAAAACACCTTTTGAAATCTCTGTTGGCTTCAAACACAAAGACATGAAGGACTACCTGGAATCTCTCACAACGATCAGACCCCAGGCAGGTATGGAGCATTAGTTTTTTATTTTACTTTCTTGAAGTTTTGGTTGCATATTTAGAAATTGAAGGGGTTATTTTGTATGTACACGATGTTTATTATAATGTGTATCTAGACTCTTTTGAAAATGTTGGAGTAGGTACACCTACCTTGGGTGAGGCAGAAACACCCAACTTCAGCAGATTTCCTCCATGTTAGCATGATGAGATTCCTGTCCTGCAATAAATAAATAATAAATAAAAATCCTGAAACATTTTAAAATGTTTTAATGTTTTAAATTTATTTTTGCTTTTAAAACACATGGTATAGGTGGTCATTTAGGGAGAAAATTACAAAGGTCTACTTGAAATGGCACTGAAAAAGGGACATCAAAAACAGAATAGGATATCAAAGAAAGAATATTGCAGACTCAAAGAAAACCTGAAAGATATAAAATCTAGAAAACCTGCCTTGTAAGTAAAGACTGAAGAAGTTCAATCTGTCTAGTTTCATGAGGAGGTGGTTAAGAGGTGTGATTAATAAAGTGTCCACATTAAGGACAGGAAGTCCAATACTGGAGGGCCTTTTTGTATAGCAGCCAAATAAAAAAACTGTGAGTTTAGTTAGAAGAATTTGAATGGGAAATAGGATGCTATGTTTTGTGGTGGTGAAGCTTAGACCTGGAGTGATTTAGTAGAGGTGTGCAATCTCTGACTGTTGTAATCAGGGTTTAAATGCCCTTCTGAAACTCATCATTGGATTGTCATCGCTGGGTGTCACATACAAAGCCTGTGAAAGCCTTGCCTTGCAGAAAGCCAGATGAGGTTCACCTATCGGTTTCTCCTAGTGCTCTCTAAATGTATGAAACCTCCTCAAAGTCCTTTGATAGTAGACTGTGTATTCTAAGAAAACCAAGTATTATTGTGGATGAATAACAAGTTGGCATGTCCTGTACTTTTCTGTTCCTAGCAGGAGAGGAAAATACTTAAATGACTTCAGCAAATTTATAAGTAACCTCCTCCTCTCAAATGTGAACGTGCCTCTGTGTGCGCGCACACACACACAGATAGGCACATGCACTATACTCTCTTATGTACAAAACTAGATTAAAATAACATTATTTCAATGCAAATCTCAGTTAAAATGAAGTGAAGAAATGCTGCTTTTATGTTTTTTAATTTTGCCCGTAATGCTATGGGCAGTGAACACGACGAGAATTGGTAAAGAAACATTTTGTGACTGTGTAATTAAATAATATGTGGTGGTCATGTAGCTTTATCCATGAGGGTGGAAGGATGTAAGAAATCCAAGATTTTGTTGAGAGAGGCTGAAGCTTAGCTGAAGGCCTAGGAAGGTGTGAGCCAACTTAAACTACAAATTTTTTCCTTCGGTCTTAAGCAGTGTATGCAGTACTGCACACTCAAACAAAAGGACAGAATAGTATATTTTGTGTCTTAACCAGTAATTTTCCAAGTTTCTTTTTAATTACTAAGCAAATTTATATTCTGTTGTTAGTTGTTTATATGTAATTTCCTAGGATTTTTATTTTTATTGAAGATAAAATTTAAACCTACTTCCTGTCACCTGTCAGTAAGAAATGTTAATGAATTTAGTTTTTAAAAAATTTTTTACTTATTGTGGATATCTTTCTCGGATACCTTTCCAAATTGGCTTTTCTTTTTAGCTGATTCTATAAAATAATGTTACTGACATCTTACGTTAGGTTTAGAATCATAGAATGGTTTAGGTTGGAAAGGACCTTGAAGATCATCGAGTTCCACCCCCCCTGCCTATGGCAGGGACACCTCCCACTAGACCAGGTTGTCCAAGGCCACGTCCAGCCTGGCCTTGAACACCTCCAGGGATGGGGCCTCAACAACTTCTCTGGGCAACTTTTTTCCAGTGCCTCACCACCCTCAGAGTGAAAAATTTCTTCCTAATGTTTAATCTAAACCTGTCCTCTTCCAGTTTAAAGCTGTTCCCCCTCGTCCTATCACTACATGCCCTAGTAAAAAGTCCTTCCCCAGCTCTCCTGTAGGCCCCCTTTAGGTACTGGAAGGCCGCAATAAGATCTCCCCGGAGCCTTCTCTCCTCCAGGCTGAACAGCCCCAACTCTCTCAGCTTTTCTTCATAGGAAAGGTGCTCCCGCCCTTTGATCATCTTTGTGGCCCTCCTCTGGACCTGCTCCAACAGGTCCATGTCCTTCTTATGTTGGGGACTCCAGAGCTGGATGCAGTACTCCAGGTGGGGTCTCACGAGAGTGGAGTAGAGGGGCAGAATCACCTCCCCTGACCTGCTAGCCACAGTTCTTCTGATGCAGCCCAGGATACGGTTGGCCTTCTGGGCTGCAATCACACATTGCTGGCTCGTGTTGAGCTTCTCATCAATCAGCACCCCCAGGTCCTTCTCCTCAGGGCTGCTCTCCAGCCATTCCCGGCCCAGCCTGTATTTGTGCTTGGGATCAATTACCCTTTCCCAGATGTAGGACCTTGCACTTGGCCTTGTTGAACTTCATGAGGTTGGCTTGGGCCCACCTCTCTAACCTGTCCAGGTCCCTCTTTTGTTAAAGTATTGTCAATTTGCTTCTTTTTCCTCCTCCAGATGTTTGTTTATGCTAACTGAAATGCATTAAAACTGTTCCTGAAATCAGGCATTTTGTTTTGGGCACTGTGTTGGACATTTGAACGTCAATAAATCATTTCAGAAACGGAAACCTTATTCTGTATGTGGCTGTTTGGGGACACTTTTCAAGGTATTTGTGCTTTATGATGCAGACCAGTGCTGAGAGATGCTTAACAAGAAAGTTTAGAAGAGCTGCATCTGGATTTTTCAGCTTTGGAGTACTTACTATGAAATCTAAGGATGTGGCTAGCCCTAGAAAAAACCTTTTCCAGGTGCTACCACCCATGCAGCCATGGTGGCAGAAAGCCTGTAGAGTAGGATAGTCCACTCTAAGCTCTCTGCCACTTGTGATACCCAAACAGGCTTATTTAAATCTTACCTAATTATGTCTGTATTACACTGCCATGTAGACATGTCTGCAATCCCCCACATTGTTAATATTTATTTAAGTTTGGTGTCATTCCTGCAGGTCAAGCTTCCCTTGTACTTTAAGAAACAAAGGCAAAAATCTGACTTTTATTTCTGCTTCAGAGTAGGTGTTAACTTAGTCAGATGTTGACTCATAGGTTAAGTTGGAGCTAGGGCTTTCATACAGCCATGCTACCAGACAGCTGGCTCACTGTAGACGTTTGCTCATGACCAGTCTCTGAGGAGTAGACATCAGCTGGTTACAGTACGCAGAGAGACATCTCTACAGTACGTACAGTATGCAGACATCTGTGGGATTTGCTAGTGCAGCACTTTATACTTTGCCCATGTGTTTGCCCGTACAGAACATATGTGCAGGCAGAGTTGGCCTGATGAGTCTTGAAAGTCTTTTGCAGTCATACGACTTAAAGTATTGAAGAAGTCTGTTTAAGATAGGAGGTTGGAGCTGCATTAAAGCAGGTGAGTGTTCCTGTCACCTCTGTTGATGGGGAGTTTCTATCAGCAGAAGGGTGGTAACTAATTGGGGCAGAGAGAGGGATAAAAATATTAAGCCTCCACACAAATTTCTGCGTTGGTTTTTGACCATGGCTTCAGTCTCCTCCTAGCACTGGAGTCTTGTATATCCTGGGAAGAAAGAAGATCCTTTGTCTCATACGGAAGGCAGTAGAAAAGGAACTTGTCTTCTGATCCATTGCCATAGATAGGGCAAATTGCCTCCCAAAAGAAAACAACTCTCTTCTCAGTGCTGTTTTCAGTAACAAATTCAAAATTACCTGAAATGGCTTGGGTGTTGCCCATGTTCTGTCCCTGTTCTTGCTTCAGCTTACTTGGATGTTACTCCTTTCTTCTGGCATCTCCTGCTCCCTGAGGCTGCTTCTCTTCCAAGCTTTTCACATGCCAAGTACGGAGTCCTTTTCTAAACCAGTCTTTTGAAATCTGTTTTCCAATGGTGAGATCATACGCAGTTCCTTCTGTAAGATCAGTTTCCGAACAAGAAGAAAATATAGGACCCACACCTCTCTTTCCTAGTCTTAAAAGAAGAGTTTCTCATGCTTTTGGGGGGCTTTCTAGCAATTGCTTTTGTTCAGCATTTTAAATTACTTCATTTGGAGTCAAGCTGTGAACAATAACCTTTTCTGTATTATCATAAAAACAGTAGAATCAGGCTCAGGAATCTCTCAATATCCCATTGACATTCTTAAAATCTTTTTACCCCATTGGTTGTGTAGTATCAATAATGCTTTGGAAGATGGAGGAGGATATATTTTTTCTGTCTTGAGTAGAAGTTGCAAATATGTCACTATTTTTTCCTCATGTTACATAGTGTCATCAGTTTCAAAGTACTTTGAGGGCATGTTGAAGGAAAGATCCTTCACTTCAAATACTAAAATTTGTAATAATAACAGTTCTTATTATGTGGATGATCATCTGGGAGCTGAAGGATATTCTGTTAATGCACAAATAGAAAGCTGTGTCGTTAAATTATCGCTGTTATTTTTGTGACCTTCACAAATTAACTGAAGAAATAAAAATGGGACATCTTGTAAAACTCTTTTTGAGTCACCTTTTGAAATAATCCTGTATTCTTTGATTGTTTGCTGTTGTACAGAGGATTACACCAGACCACAGAACCATACTGTGGTTCTTTAATTGATATTTTAGTCTTCCAGACCGGAAACACAGAAGTTTCCAAATGCAATTTCCTGATACAGAATGGAAGTTGAAAGGCAAAAGCCTGTTCTGGTGCTTTATTATAATTTGTAGCTTTAACTCTGCGCAGAGAACTGTACAGGTGAGTCATTCTTCCCAAAGGGAATAGAAAGGTTATCAGTGCTTTCTTTGTTCTTAATAAATGTATGTCCAAACATACTTTTTATAGTACCTTTGTGTAAATTTTTTAATAGTTTTTGCTATAAAAATTTTACTAGAAATTTTTGCTTTTTTAATGATTGCTAATAGAAATATTTATATTTCTTCCAGATACAGAAAAGAGGCAGCCTGATGTCTTTCATGCTTTGAAATTGGGTAAGTACTGATAGGACTCTTCTGCCACATCTGGTTCTTGTAGCTTCAGGGCATGTTTGTTTGTTAACATGTGAAGCTGAGGTGTGTTCTGTTTTTACACAACTTTGGGTTCCTTATTTTTCTTTTCATTTAAAAAATGCATGTATTTCTGTAGTTTGTATTTATTTCTCTTCACATTCCAATATAAGAAAATCTGGTTCCAACATAAGAAAACTCTTGGTTGTGCACATCATGCCAAAATGGTGTAATTTAGTAGTTCTAGTGTTTCCAAGGCCATGCTACCTTTAATAAGATTTTTTTTTTTGCCTTCTTGGTAAACTTGGAAGTATGAAAACAAAAGTGCTAAGTGGCGCAAAAAACTATGCTGGCCTCTACTCCATATTAGCATTGTAATTGCTCTTTAAAGTTGCTTCAAGAAAAGAATTAAGTGTCTCAGATCTTGCATGTACTTTCATGAGCAAGAGTGACTTTCATGAGCACACAACTGCTAAAACTGCTCCATGGCAAACAGAAAGAGTGAGTGCCGTCCTGTTGATTTAAATTTCATTCAGGTTCTGATGGGTTACAGCCGTGGTGGATGGCAGACTGCTTTCTGGTTACCTATTTTCCTGGATCTTCCAGCATAGGAAAAGTGCTGAAATGATGGCTTTGGCTTGAGGCTTACTATCTGATGGCTTTGGGATGGGAAACAGGACTATTCACTTTTTTCTGAGGTTCCTGATAGTGTCACTGGTCAGAAAACTCTGCACTGTTCGCTATCTCTTTGGCAGGTTAGAGAGATTCAGTACTTGAACCTTATCTTACTACTGCTCTTACAATCAGTATTTTGCCATTTAAATATATTTTCAGCTATTAGCACATTTTCAGCTAATAGCACATTTAGCCTGTTGCTAGCAGCCCTAGCTATACAGACAGTCAGAAAAAAATAGTCACTCAGCCATAAAGAAAAGTTCCTGATAGATCTATTGATTTTTTATTTTTTTTTAAATATTGGAAGTTGTCATTCTCATGTGAAATTAAATCTTATGTCCAGTGACGTCATGAGAGGTGTCCCATGAGACCTAAGAGATTTGTTTTTTGTCCAGTCAGCTGCCCTCGCTTGGGACTAAGATGCCCCAAACAATAAGGAAACATTGGTAATACAGCCTTGTGTATTGTAGTGGACCTAATAATCCTTACTAGGGCTGTCTTTCTGTGTCTGTGGCATAGAAAATCTAGTCATAGTGCACTGAAAGCTGGCACTACCCCTTCTGGCTGTGATAGGTACATACAGAGTAAGTGAGCTATAGGATTAAGCACAACTGCCTCTCATTTCAGCTTTTTTGTCCATGTACCCATTCCTGACTGTAACATAATCATGAGGCCTTTGGTGTGGTTCACCTTGCTTTCAACAGGGATCTGCAATCTGAAGAGAGCTCTGAGTCAATAACTTTCAGAGTTTCTGATGGATTTTTAGATCTTTTTTTATTATTATTATTTGTAAATTAATGATTTTTGTGAAGGAAAATGCCATTTTATCCCAACATCTGTTCAAATGGATTTCCGCAATGCATCTTTAAATCGACAATTATCTTCCAAGTTTTATTGTTACTGCATTCCTGTTGAAAAGTTAGAGGTGTGTTTTAAATGGTCAAGCCTGGCCTTAGTGTTCAGATCTTGTCCTGGGTTTGGCACAGCAGTTTAACAGTTGCTTTTCAATTAACCATCATAAGCCACTGCCTCAGGAACTTCATGGCTTTTCAGGCTTCCAGAACTAGAAATGGACAAACATAATAGTGGACAAGAAAGAGGTGATAGGTAGCAGTACTGGGAGCTTGCTCGCTCTCTATCTCTCTCTCTCACACGTAAGCTACTGTCCTGGTTTCAGCTGGGATAGAGTTAATTTTCTTTCCAGTAACTGCTGTGCTTTGGATTTAGTATGAGAATAGTGTTGATAACGCACCAATATTTTGGTTGGTGCTAAGCCAGCTTCTCATACTGGCCTGCCAACAAGAAGGTGGGGGGCACCCAGGGAGCTGTGAGGGGACACAGCGGGGACAGCTGACCCCAACTAACCAAAGGGGTATTCCATACCATATGACGTCATGCTCAGCATATAAAGCTGGGGGAAGAAGAAGGAAGGGGGGGACATTCAGAGTTACGGCATTTGTCTTCCCAAGTAACTGTCGTGCATGATGGAGCCCTGGAGAGGGCTGAACACCTGCCTGCCCATGGGAAGTAGTGAGTGAATTCCTTGTTTTAATTTGTTTGTGTGCATGTCTTTTGCTTTACTTACTAAACTGTCTTTATCTCAACCCACAACTTTTCTCGCTTTTTTGATTCTCTCCTCCATCCCACCATGGGGGAAGTGAGCAAGCAGCTGTGTGGTGCTTAGTTGCTGGCCAGGGTTAAACCACGACGGCTACCAAAACCTCTTCCTGGGAAGGCCTCAGGTCTGTTACATTTTAAAGAATTCAGCTGCCCTTCTTGTACCCCCGTGACTTTTAGTTTGAGATTTATAAACGTTGGTGCTCGATCGGAGGGAGTCTTATGAGGGGAGCCAAATGAATACTGGTCAGCATACTTCTTTTGTTTTTTTCTCAAGTACTTTGCTATGGGTGGCAGCACTGTTAAAAAAACAACTCACTAGTTTAAGAAGTGTTCAGGCCAGAGTTCAAAGTCAATTCTGGAGTCTCTGTAGGTTCCAGGGTTTCTGTTTAACAAAGTCTGTGATGCAGATCTGTGCTAAAAAAGCCACCTGCTGTCTTTTGCTTAATCGGGACATAAAAAAACTAGTTCTGTGCTTTTGTATCTTTCCTGTTTCAAGAAATTAGCTGAGTTGCATGGGTGGATGTTAGTTTCAGTGAGCACATTCAAGTGCCTGCAGGGGTTGTCTGGGATTCTGATTGACTTTCCAAGGAAAATGTTCATGCCTGTGATTGAATTGAAGGCAGCTTGTGTCATGAAGCAGTTTACCATCTGAAGGTTTTTTAAAGGTGAGGGTTTTTTTGTTTGCATGACAGTTGATGTGCTGCTTCTTGCCTCTGTTCCTGCAGTGTTACATATTTGGTCACAGAACTTTTTTTTTCCTCTTAGCTTCTTCCCTGCTTTTGCCTGCCATATGTCATCAAAAAAGTAAGGGAGCTGGGTGAGCTTAAGTTCTCTGCTTAAGATGACCCTGACTGCCTCATAAATTTTTAAAAAGTGCTTGTTCCTACCTTTATTAAGATTTACAAAAAAATCCACAACCTGGTTAAAATATGTTCAGTAGCATATTTTGTACTGCTTTTCATAACCTAGACAAGAACTCGGTGGCTACCAGCCTTTTTATGTGGAAACTTGAATGTTAGGTTTGCTTGTAAAGAACTGGAAAGATGATAGGAATAATGCATTACTCTTGAGCAAGGGAAAGGGAAGTTTTGCATTGGAGATGTAGTTTAAATATTGGAGGCAGAGTTAAAAAAAACCTTCTGAATATAAGAAAGTTGAGAGCTGGCATAGATTAATTCCTTGGGAGGTTGTGGAATAGTATGAGTAGAAGTTTTTAGAATCAGTGAACCACCTTTGTAAGAGGAACTTACGTGTCAGTGTGACGTAGGGTATTGTTCTATCTGCTTAAGGCAAGGATGGCCGCCACCACCTTTCAGAGTGCCTTTGTACCCAATCTCTTTGCTTCTGAAATTTTTGCTTTCTGTGATTTCAGTCTATGGAATTGCGACAGGGATCCTCACCCTGCTGAAGGACAAATCATGGTGTCTCAGCATCATAAGTTTTCCTTGCATGACATCATCTTATGGAAACTTAATAGAAATATTCCCTACTTGTGTCTTCATATGTGGGATGCACTGCATTTTCTACAGCGTTTATAGCTTAGTTGTTAATGTCAGAAAATGATTCTTGGAATGGGGTTGTACTATAAGTGTACAGGTAGGGAAAAATGAGGGAAAGCAGTGCTTCGTGCTTATGCCACGATTTTACGTAGCCCGGGGCGATGTACTGATCAACTAAAAGACCAAAGTTCAATACAAATATTTAGCTTTAGTGTTGCATTTGCTTTAGTACTTTATTTTTTCTGTTTTAATTCCACTAAATGTAGACCAATGTCAGCAAATCAAAATGCATATGAATTCAGTGGCTAAGCAGTTCTCTGATGCTCATGTGGATTATGTTTTATCACTGTTTTACAGGAAACTTTCAGCTGGTTAAAGAGATCATTGATGAAGACCCGTGTCAGGTCAATATTACCAATGTTGATGGTGCTTCTCCATTAATGATTGGGGCTGTAACTGGACAGCTGTCCCTTGTTCAGCTTCTTGTTGAGAAGAATGCTGATATTGACAAACAGGATAATGTTCATGGCTGGACAGCACTAATGCAGGCCACATACCATGGGTAAGATACATGCTGTCTTTGTGTCTAGCAGTAAAGAAGATTCATTCTTCTTACGTCCCAGTAGAAAAAAATCTTTTTGATACTGACTCTCGAAACAGAGGAATCTTACAAGAAATTGAGAGACTTGTGGCATCAGTTTTTCATGACTCTTGCACTGCACTCTGCTTTTCAGAGCAGACCTGGATGAAATTTGTATTTCAGAATGAGTAGCACATTTGGGAACTTGAATCTTGCTTAGTAAGTGCTAGGAACATGGTGCTTCAGGCAGGCACTAGGAGCTTTAGTGCAAATTCCAACTTCCATCTTTCGATGTTTTTTAGTGTTTTGTAAGAGAGTATTGCTTTGTGCCAGGGTTGTAGGCCTACATCAAGTTGTGAAACTTCAAGGCAATCTCCCTTCTATATGCCTTATTATCTAGTCTTAAACCCGTTCTTGTGTTCCTCTATTCAGCCTTTAGTTTTCATAGAGTTTTCTGAAATGTGCCCACTGGAGAACTGATTGTCGTTTTCTCTAAAGCTGTGTTACAAATGCAGGTAGACACTTAAAGAGTCAGATTCCAGAAATTGGCCTGGTACTTCACATGTGATCTCTGTCATATACTTGACGTTGTCAGAATACAGGATATTCAGTTTAGGAAGGTGAACTTTTCTCCATTTCTGTAGACGAGGCCCTCATGGAGGTGAAGATTCACTTCACTGCCTGGGAATGCTTACATTAATTGTACAAATACAGATATTCTGCTCCAGCTTTTATCTTTATTCAACAAATCTCATTGGACTATGAAAGTGCAACAAAGGGGAAAAATGGGAGGTCAAGTTGTCATTGCTTTGTGAAAATTTTATGAAGTAGTTCCTGGGACCTGCATAAGATGGTCCACATGTAGGTACTTTGCTTGGCAGAGTACTATGTGATAAAGCCCTGGGGGGGAGAGGGGCCCAATAGAGCTGGTTACTATTCAAGGATCACCTCCTCCAAGCTCAGGGAGTGATGCATCCCAACAAAGAAGTCAGGCAAAAACTCCAGGAAGCCTGCATGCATGAACAAGGAGCTCCTGGACAAACTCAAAACAGAAGAAAGAAGCCTATAGGGGGTAGAAGCAAGGACAGGTAGCCTGGAAGGAATACAGAGAAATTGTCTGAGCAGCCGGGGATCAGGTTAGGAAAGCTAAAGCCCGGGTGGAGTTAAGTCTGGCCTGGGATCAGGTTAGGAAAGCTAAAGCCCGGGTGGAGTTAAATCTGGCCAAGGGCAACAAGGAAAGCTTCTACAGGAACATCAGTGATAAAAGGAAGACTAGGGAGAATGTGGGCCCTCCGGAAGGAAACAGACCTGATTGCCTGGGATATGGAGAAGGCTGAGGTACTCATCGACTTTCTTGCCTCAGTCTTTGCCAGCAAGTGCTCTAGTCACACTGCCCAAGTCGCAAAGGGTAAAGGCGGGGACTTGGAGAGTTAGGTGCTGCCCGCTGTAGGAGAAGATCAGGTTTGAGACCATCTGAGGAACTTGAAGGTGCATAAATCCATGGGACCTGATGAGATACATCCTCAGGTCCCAAGGGAACTGGCGAATGAAGTTGCTAAGCCGCTATCCATCATGTTTGAGAAGTCGTATCAATCCAGTGAAGTTCCTGCCAACTGGAAAAGTGGAAACATAAGCCATGTTTTTAAAAAGAGGAAAAAAAAGAAGACCTCGGGAACTACAGGCCGGTCAGTCTTCACCTCTGTGCCTGGCAAGATCATGAAAACTATGCCAAGGCACATGGAAAATAAGGAGGTGATCAATGACAGCCAGCATGGCTTTACTAAAGGCAAATCATATCGGACAGATTTGATGGCCTTCTACAATGGGGTTATAGCTTTGGTGCATAAGGGAACTGATAACATCTGTCTGGACTCGTGCAAGGCATTGGACTCTGTCCCACACAACATCCTTGTCTCTAAATTGAAGAGACGTAGATTTAATGGATGGACCACTTGGTGGATAAGGAATTGGCTGGATGGCCGCACTTAAAGAGTTGCGGTCAACAGCTCCATGTCCAAGTGGCAACCAGTGATGAGTGGTGTTCCTCAGGGGTTGTTACTGGGACCGGTGCTGTTTAACATCTTTGTTGGTGATATGGGCAGTGGGACTAAGTGCATCCTCAGTAAGTTTGCTGAGAACACCAAGCTGTGTGGAGCTGTCCACATGCTGGATGGAAGGGATGCCATCCAAAAGAACCTGGACAGGCTGGAGAGGTGGACCCGTGCAAACCTCATGAAGTTCAACAAGGCCAAGGGCAAGACGGGTTGGGGCAATCCTAAGCACAAACACAGACTGAGCAGATAATGGATTGAGAGCAGCCCTGAGGAGAAGGACTTGGGGGTGTTGGTTGATGAGAAGCTCAACATGAGCTGGCAGTGTGCACTTGCAGCCCAGAAAGCCAACTGCATCCTGGGCTGCATTAAAAGTGTGGCCAACAGGTTGAGGGAGGTGATTCTGCCTCTCTACTTGTCACCTGTAATATTGTGTCCAGCTCTGGGGCCCTCAGCATAAGAAGGACATGGACCTGTTGGAGCAAGTCTGGAGGAGGGCCACGAAGATGATCAGAGGGCTGGAGCACCTCTCCTGTGAAGACAGGCTGAGAGAGATGGTGTTGTTCAGCCTGGAGAAAAGGCTCCATGGAGACCTTATAGCAGTCTTCTAGTACCTAAAGGGGGTCTACAGGAAAGATGGGGAGGAACTCTTTGTCAGGGTGTGCAGTGATAGGATGAGGGGTAATGGTTTTAAACTGGAAGAGGGTAGATTTAGATAGTAGATAGTAGAAAGAAAGAAGAAAGAAGAAAGTAGAAAGAAAGAAGAAAGAAACATAGTAGAAAGAAATTCTTTGCTGTGAGGGTGGTGAGACACTGGAACAGGTTGCCCAGAGGGGTTGTGGATCCCTGGAAACATCTCTGGAAACACTCAAGGTTGGATGGGGCTTTGAGCAACAACCTGGTCTAGTGGGAGGTGTCCCTGGCCATGGCAGAGGGGTTGGAACTAGATGATCTTTAAGGTCCCTTCCAATCCAAACTGTTCTATGATTCTAAGATGAGATTCTCTGCTTCTTCACCAACACAGTACTGATGGTAGCAATAGGCATTTCACAAAAGTGCCTGAAGATCAGTTTTTCTGGTGAGGCCATTTTGCTTAACAGCAGCCACCCTGGTGCACAGGTGGAATAGAAGCAGCTAGCAGAAAGCGATGTGCGGGGCTGCTGGCATGTCCCCTTGCCTGTACTCGGGGGCTTATCTTGTCAATGGAAGCACAGAGTGCAGCTGAGTGCTGCATGTGTTCAGATACTGCCCTTTCAGTTTCCTGGAAGACTGTGTTTTGAAAATTCCCTTCCCTATAATATGAATCCATCTTTATAGTATGAAAGTGTATTAATTTTGTTAATACACTTAGTGTTTGAGGTAGTGGAATTTTATTGGAGACTTTGATATTATTCATGCTTAAGTAAAACAAACTAAAGAAGACCAGCTCAGTAGAAGGACATCCCATCCCTGGAAGTAAGGACTTGGCTTCTTGGAAGCTTAAGAGCTTTCCATGAAGGATAAAAGATACCCCTAGTCAACCAAGATAACAGCAGCATCATAGCCCCTCTTAGAAATCTTTGAAACCCTGTCATTGTTGTCTGGCATCATAGATAAGTAACCATGGCAAGAGCGACTCCAGGGATACGTGGATGAAGAGACAAAACAGCAAGAATGCTGCAGAAATAGAGTTGCTTTGCAAAGTTTTACCATGATTAGTAATTGATAGTGTGGATGTTGGTGATTATTCAAATTGTGTTGTACCTGAATGCTTGAAAGGTACAAGAACCCTGTGTAAAACCACATTCAGCGTGCCCTGATTTGGCTGGGGCACCTCATCTGCGTGAATAAATATTTACCCTTGTAATTCTATACTTTACGTCCTAGCTTCTCTCCTTGGCTGGCATGAGCCAGTTGCAAATTTCTGTAACAACTGGAAATCTTTAGACTCCTCAGAGCCTCACCTTACCCCTTGTCAGGACCAAGAGTGGTGTGGAGGGTCTCTGGTTTGAAGGACAGAGCAGACAAGGTCTGTGTGAGTGAGGGACGCTAAAGGATTGCGTCTCTATGTGCCCTCAAGGTGCAGGACTGGAAAGCAGGATGAGGGGGTGACACAGTTTTAAGGAAGAGAAGAAGAGTAATGGGAAGTACGCAGACGAGCTGTGGTGGGGGTAAGCAGAATTTTGTTAGAAGAGAGGAGGAACATTCCTCCTCCATTTTAGGTTGATTTTTATCTGTAGTGAGTTCAGAAGTGAAAACTTAATTTATGCAATAAGAAGTAAAGCTCTGAAGTGGAGTGGCTGAGATCTGTTTGTCAGCTTCAGTATTAGAGTTTGCAGTCAGCTATTTTACTTAACATTTTTGTTCTGTGTTGCTTATGAGTGTCAGAGTTTGTTTTTATATGAGGTCAGTCTCTGCTCAGGAGGAGTTTTGTATTAAATATTTTTTTTCCTAGCTTTGTTGTCTGTTTGCTTGTTTTGTGGGCTGAATTGCAGTATTGTTTTTAACTCACAAGGCAAGTCCTGCTTATTTATTCAGGTGTATGAGGGGAGAGGGGCTAATGGGAATGGGATGGTGAGTTCCTTTCATGCAACTAGCTTTTATGAGCTTTTGTTGGAAGGTGCTTGTGCTGGTTATCATTTAATGCTGATTGGTTTTGCATTTTAAACAGCTCAGGGAAGTGATAATGTGCCTTCTCAATTATGTATTTTATATCTCTAAGTGAAGTACTGGTGGAGTTTATAAATTATCTTCAGTCAGTTTGGCTTTTTTATATGCAATTTCTTAAGTGTTCTGAATATGAAGTTGTGTTGAAGTACTAGTGATGGTATATGATGACTATGGGACTGACCTTTTTCTTTCCTTCTGCTTTTTTGCCCTAGGCATTAATGGCCTTCCATTGGGAATGTGTTTGCAATAAATTCCAGAGTCAGTTCGAAAGGGTCACCTTAAGAAGCAGTTTAGGTTTTTTAGACTGACTTTCTGCATGTTGATTAATGTAATTCATAGTGAGTAAACAGTGACTGACAAAGGAATCGTGGAAGCTTCTGAATAGCTTTGTGGACAAATTTTAGACTTGGTTAGCTATAGAAAAGGTAAAACTGATGTTTAATTGACGAGCAGTGATATGAAAGAATGAAAATGGAGTATTAGGGTTTTCTCTTTTTTTTTTTTTTTATTGTAACATGAGCAATGCTTTTTTTTTCTTCCCTCAAAGAAACAAAGAAGTTGTAAAGTATTTGTTAAATCAAGGAGCTGACGTCAATCTTCGTGCAAAAAATGGATACACAGCTTTTGACCTGATAATGCTGCTGAATGATCCAGGTATGTTATTTCAAAGACCACTGCAGAAATTTACAACATGAACCAATTAACATCACTTCCAATCTAGAAAATACATTAAAGTTGCTAGGAAGTATCAGCCGAGGTCCATGTTGGACTGGATCAAGAAAGGATGCTGCCTGAAAAATGGTGGGTTTTGAGTTAATTGGTTAGATGAATGTATACATATATGGGATAACAGATTTTGCAAATCCCTGTTGCCTTTGTTTTTGAAGATGCTCCAAAACGTGTTGTTTGTGTTACCAGAGCCAGTTTGGTGGCATTTGACTGTGGTGGCCCAGATATTCTGTCGTGTCATTAGCACAGAGTGATCAACTGGAGCCAGAAATTTCTGCTTGGTAAACAACAGTAAAGGGACAGCACTAAAGAGAGCGCAGTCAGAACAAAACTAGTGAATTCCTGGCTGAACCTCTCAGTGGGTCTGTAAAGGCTGAGAATAAATCACACTTCAGGGCTGAGGTTGTTTCTATGGGGGTGCTTTAGAAAAAGGCAGCATGTTTTGGGGAGGCTTCAATGAAACACATTTGGGGTTCGTTGTAGTTTGTTTAGCCTGTGTGATTTATTATTGTTAACCTTGCCTTGCCTGGTACCTGAATCGCTTTATCTGAAGCCAAAATCCACTACTGCTGTTGGAATAAATGTTTGTTTTCTCTGTGTTTACTCATTTTGGTGGTTTTGGTCACTAGTGGACACCTTCCCTTTGTCAAAAGTAGGTCACTAAGAGTATGATATTTTAGAAAACAAATACAGTGAATACTTTTTTCTTATAACTAACTTACTGTAGGACAGAGTAATTTGTCTTGTTACCTGTTCAGCGAGAGGAATATATAGGTCAGTTCTGTCTGCCCTTCTGAAAGTTTTTCCTGATTTCTGTATAAAATACACTTTTACAGATTTTTTTTTTCCTTTTTTTTTTTTTTTTTTTTTTTGCTTTCCTTTCCTCATGTCATACTTGTTCTTTTTTATTCCTCTTTGGTCCACCACTTTTTTGGTCCACCTTTTTTCTTACTGTGTCTTTTCAGTCCCTTCATTGTCCAGGCTGAACATCTCCTTTCTCTTTGGGATTTAATTTCAAGCTTCTTTTCTGCAACCTACACTTGAAGAAAGAATATTCATTTTTCTCTACTCTCTTCTCCGTCAGGTGAGAAAAGGGAGCATCACAATGCTGTTCTTAACTTCTACAAAGTGCGAGAGGAGGCAGTTCACTTGGTCACACATGACTGATTCTGACTGAATAGCATGTTTATTTATATTGATAAATACCTTTAGAGAGGTGATGGTAAGACTGCAGCTCACTGTGTGGGGAGAAGGGGTGGGAAGCACAGGCCAAGAAAAGAGGTTTTGGGGATTCATCTGCTTTGTGTTTGAGAGGTAGATCAATTATTACTTACATGGGATTTATAGGGAAAGTCATAATCAGTCATATCAGTCATAATTTGGGAAAGAAAACATTAAACATTATCTTAATTTGTTTTCTTTTAGACACGGAGCTTGTACGGTTACTGGCATCAGCATGCATGCAAGTAGACAAAGACAAGAATAAACTGAACAATAGATCATCTTTGCCTTGTTCCAGAAGTAGGCAATCCTTAAATGTTCCAATGTTGCCAGATGACAAAGGAGGTCTAAAGGTAAACACATTCACTTTTAATAAATAACCGATGAATTGTTTCCTGTAATGAATGAAGCAGAGGAAGTCATTGCTAAAAAGTACTTCGGATCTAATATGTAACTGGGTGGTTGGTTTTTTTTTTTTTGGGGGGTGGGGGGAATAGCTCTGAATTCCTCGTTGACTGTGCTTCCTGTTTTTATGAAATATAGCATGCGTTCAGCTTTTTTCTTTGTCAGAAGGCAAAGCAAAGGGAAGACTTTTAAGTAAGAGTTTGCATCGAAGCGTTTCAGTTCCTAGACATAGATCTCATAATTAAGTTGTGGAAGGTACAATGCTCAAAAGTTTGGAACTGAATTTTGATTGTGATCTTAATTTTAAACCCACCATTAAAATCCACATGTACTCCAATTTTAGTTGACTGTTCTTATAGCTATTTTTTTTCTTTGAAATTGGAGTGGAATTGCTGTGAGGATTTGTTTTTTCAGTGATGTCCTTTCAAGTTAAACTTTTTGACCAGTAAATTTTCAGATTTTCTTCTTGGGGGTAGTGATTACGTGTTTGCCTTTTGCCTAATTTCTGTAATTTCTTCCATCCTCTTAACTTATCTTGAAGATAAAATTTGTTCAGAGCTTGTGTTGTCTATAATTACTCTAGAGTAATTTTAATCAATCTAGTCTGGTTTTAATTCATGTAAGCTCTTTTAAATATTTTTAGTCTGTTAAGCAAGTGTACATATATTCCTACCTTCCTTCTGTTAATGGTATTCATACTAAAATATCTGATTACAAGTAGGTTGCTTTTGAAGTTTAAAAAAAACCAGTTTTCTGTGTCTTGTATTTGATCACTTTTGTCATTAACAAGAAGACTTTTTATTTTGTTATGTGTTTCATTTATTTGTAATTTATGCATAATACAGACCCTTGTTCCTTTACCTACTGATTATGTAGTGGATAGCCATGATCTCATTCTTTACCCCTTTTACACAGGAACTGTTAACTACTTTGTTTCTCACCATTTTGTGGACTTGAAAACAAAATTCTGCCTTTTCCATATCCAAAAATTCTATTTCCTTTCTTTGCTTCCTGTCTGTGCTTCTTCAGCAAATTGTACTCGCAGTGTCAATATTGGAGCAGTGTGAATTGAATGAATCACACTCAGTTTCTTTTTTAGATTAAAGTTGTTTCAGGGCAGAGGTTTCCAGTTCTTCCTCTTCTTCTTTCATTCCTAATATTGTTACAAATGTCTAAGGTATTTCTTGAGTTGCAACACTGTTTTTCTGTTCTTTGATACTATTGCCTTCTCCCACTGCTACTAGATTTCAGCTGTTGGACTGACACTAATTTTAACCACAAATGCATTTTTGTTACTTGGCTGCCTCAGTCTAGTTTAAAGCCCTTTATTCCAGCCTCTGTATGTGTGTGATATAGCGGGCATATGGAGAGGCCACAACCATCTGCAACAGCAGACCAGAAACTTCAGAGCTCAGACCACCATACTCTGAACACCAGAGGAACAACATGAACCTCTCCACCATCATTCCTTTCTTGCTGGAGAGCAGTAGTATTTTGTATGGTAGCAGAGTGGCTGTACTTACTGTAATTTTGGGTTAGTTTGTGGTGTGAGCATATGTTAACAAAGCAGAAGCACTGTGAAGAGGAGTAACAAAGATGATAGGAAGTTAGAAGTGATCTTTTTGTTCACTGAAGCTTGCTTGCTCCTGTAACAAACAAACCACATTGTGCAAGCAGCCTCTTTTATAAGCTCATTGTACTCTGTGTTAAAACTAGATGGATTTTTTTTTCCCTTTCAATTCCTTTTGGAAGGTGAATAAATGCTGAATTGAGTGGGTTTTATTGCATTCTCGGAACTGTTTGTCTCTCTTGCCTTTTTCCATCAGGTCTTTGTTGCTGAAAATAACGTAAATCTTTATTAGTTATGGCTCCAAACAAATACAAAGGTCTTAGAACTCTGTCCATTACTAATGCTCTGTGCAGATTTAAAATCTTTTTAATGATCATCTGCTAGAAGGATTGATTTACAGGGAATAAGTTAACAGTTTATATTACGTAGTTCTACGGTATGACAGTTGGGAAGACATATATGAGTAAGCAGTTGAAAAATGTTAAATGCTAAGGAGAGAGGGGAATATGTATGGTGAGAATGAATGGCTAAGAATGAAGAGTAAACTAGGATAATGTGTTATCTGGATTGGATATCACGTAAAGCTGCCTTGATTAAGTATCATCACCTTTACATGACTATTATTTTCTTTAAGTGTTCTAGAAAGGGAAGAAGAAGCTTTACTAAGAAATAATCAGAAGATATTTATAATGTGACTTGCCTGCAAGCCACATAATCTTTACTACAGATTGCATAGGTCTTCTTAATATAGCCTATAGGTCTCGTATAGTCTAGAGAAATGTCCTGCTAAATAATTAAAGCATCTTGTGCTATCTGCCTGTAAAAATGTGTAAGAGTGTAAATATTTGAATAAATTTTATTTTAAGAGAAGACGGGTCTTCTCGTTTAACAGTCTCCAATTATGTGGTGTGGATGGAGGTTATAGGTGCAGTTGTCCTAAGGTCTGTGTTGTTTCACAGCTGATTTTTCCTTGCCTTGCTCTTTTTCAGTTTATAGTCTTTCCAGTCTGACAGGGTGTATGTTATCTGTATAGCAGCACTGTATGGATTGTGGGTCTTTAGTCTGACAGGAATACTATCAGAACTCTTCCAGTTTGCCACTGATTTTGAAAATCTTAAGGAGAAGCTTTCATGCAGATCAGATAAACTTCTGTGCACACCTCTAAAAAAGAGAAAATAGATGTGCCAGTTCATTGATGCCAGAGAGTGTAAGAATGGATGGTGAAATTGGACATTAATGGGAAGACTAAGTATTTGCCATGTAGCTGTAAAAATTTCCCATTCAAATAGCCCTTTTATCTGCCTTGTCCTTCCAGATAGCATGGAAAAATATTGTAAGGTATTTGCCAGATGAAAAATAAGGAAAGAGATTAATCTTATGCATAGAAATTTTGGTGAAGGATTCTATTGCTAATTGCAAACCACTTTAAGATTGCTTTTGTGGTTTATCTCAAAAACTCCTTGACAGATTTATCGCTGCTGTAAGGCCTACTTAATTGTATATTTCTTTTCCTCTTTTTTTCTTTTAGTTGGAACTAAATTGTTGTGTCTTCTTATCAATCTAGTCCTGGTGGAGCAGGATGTCCAATCGATTCCGCAAGCTGAAGTTGACTCAGACGTTGCGCCATGGGTTTCCTTCCAGTCAGTTTGTACCATTTCCTGATGAGCCTGAACCATCATTAAATTCCACCATAAAAGCTGTTTCACAGAGTGATATGGACACCTCTGGAAACGTTGATGCTGCTACAGCTCGGATCACAAATAACAAAGCTAGTGGTAAAGCCAGAGTTGTCTTGTGGGATGTGAGCTCTTGTGCGATAGTCAAGATGATACTGTTTCTATTTTATTGATTTAGTTTTTATTTCGCTTGGTATAACTGAAAAGACATGTAATGCGTCTGTAGTGTGTAGAGAGATTTTTCTACTCCTGACTGTTGATTGTGCTAGGACGAGGGGTAATGGGCATAAACTTGAACATAGGAAGTTCCATCTTAACATGAGAAGGAACTTCTTTACTCTGAGGGTAGTGGAGCACTGGAACAGGCTGCCCAGAGAGGTGGTGGAGTCTCCCACTCTGGAGACATTCAAAACCCGCCTGGACGCTGTCCTGTGCAACCTGCTGTAGGTGACCTTGCTCTGGCAGGATGGTTGGACTAGATGATCTCCAGAGGTCCCTTCCAACCCTGACCATTCTGTGATTCTGTGCTGAACGATGAGCGCAGCATCATTGAAGTAGAAAAATGCTAATATAACAACGTTACTGTTGTAGCAAGCATCATTAAATTGGGCAGCAGAGATGGGTCACTCAAAAGTTGGTAGTATCTTTGATAAACTAATTTATATAATGAAACTGAATTAACTGAAACAAATAAATAATTCTGAGAAGAAAAAGGGATTGGAAAAGTCCAAATTGTGAAGCACATCTACTGAAATTACACAGCTCTCCATGCAACCCCCCCCAGTTTGTGATGTGAAATAAGACTATTAGCTTAACTTTAATTTAGTTACATGACGGTGTCACTGGAAATCTTGGTTCTGTGTGCTTATTGAGGATAAAGCTGTTTAATGTTTGAAAACAATAAACTATCCTTGAGAACAACAGTAGGAGCATGTAAACAATAAAACATCATTTATATATTTTTCAGGTGTAAACACTGCAAAAGGAGGAAAAGAGGATGAATTATTGACAACCATGGTATGTTGCAGTGTTCTTGGTATGTTCAGCCTGATTCAGAGTGTCACGCAGCTCCCTTTTTTTTTTTATTTTTTTTTTCTAGCTTCCTACCCAAGTCACCATTAGGAAGAGAACTATCATTTGTTAGTAGTCACTAGGCAGGAACTGACAGGCTGTGGTACATCAGTAGTTCTTAGACTAGGAAGTACTACAAGTAGTACAGTATGGGAGCTGTTCACAAGTACTGACTTTTTTCAAGAGTTTTACATACTTTTGTATGATCAGCAATGAATTAGTAAAATAGGTGGAACAGCTGAGTAGTTGCTGACAAGAAGTATACTGTGAGGAAAACATGGATGGAACACAGTACAATGTGAAAGTGAGAAATTACTAGTAGAGGCAACTATGAAATATTTAGTTTGGGATGTTTATTTGTGTTATTCTATTTCTTCTTTTGTTATGCTGTAGCTTTAAATTCCCCCTACAGCTTAGTCCCTGGAGATGTCATTAAATTTGGCTGGTTGTCCTGTATGTTCTTTTTTAAGAAGATTAAATAACTTTTGATGTGACTCACTGAACGAACTCCAGGGAGCCAAATCAGTTGTGTTGTTTTTTTTCTCTTTCTGGAGAACACATGCAGCAGGAACAGGCAGTTGTCACTGTTTCCGGGTGTCCTCTCTGTGAATAGAGAGAGGACTACCTTGCTATTTCCTTAGGAGTTAATTGTTAACATTCCTGTTACTGTCAATTTGAAGCAAGATTCAGCTCAGTGAAGGAGGAGACAGTTTCTGCCATGTAATGAACTATATTCATTGCGTTAAATGAGTGAGCATACTGATAGGTGCCAGAATGTCCATTGGATTCTGGTATTATTGTGTATTGTACATCTTCAGAAATACTACCTTTGTGTCTTCTTTCCACCTTATTTTGTTTAAAAATGCATTTGTCTCTATCTTTTTATTTAACTTACAGTTTTGAAACTACATCATCAGCTCTCAGTAACCTTTCTTAAGAACAGGGTCTTTTCTTTTTCCCTTTCTTTGTTTCCTTCTCTCAGTTGAGAAGTAGTGCTCCATTTACCAGGCTGCCCAGCGATAAACTGAAAGCAGTGATACCCCCTTTCTTACCACCCTCAAGTTTTGAGCTTTGGAATTCTGACCGAACGCGACTCAGCAAAGATGGCAAAGCTGAACAGATGAGAACTGCATGGCCGCAGAGAGCGATCAAGCATGACTTTAACAGCAGTGGGAACTCTGACATAGTAAGCAAACAAAATGTGTACGGAAATACTAATTTTGTTCTTCAGTGGAAATTTCAGAAGTTATGATAAATAAAATAGCAGTTGAAGTTTGATCTTTGTTTTGCTCAAATAAGAAAGATGAAAATTATTTTTCTTTTTTTTTTTTCCAGACATCTGTTAGCAAAGGTACTAGACCAGTCAAATTACCAACATTTGCAAGAAGACCTGCATCTCCTTCAAATTCCAACAACTTCAACCATTCTCCCCATTCTTCTGGTGGATCCAATAACATTGCAGGAATTAACAGGCATGGAGGAGAACTGCATAACAGATCAGGTACCATACTGCTTTTATTTAAAAAGAAAGTCAATTGTATCTGGTTCAGCTAAAAAAATAATGTTTGTGGTGATGGTAGAAGATATCAAACCTTTTCTAAGGGCTCCTATTGCTCTATAAGCAAAACTTCCATAAATTTTGTTGGAACAGGATTGGACTTTGGACATCTACATACGGGAACAAAAGCCTCACATCTGTTATAGAAGTCTCATAGGTTAGCCCCTGTCTCAGAAAAAAGATGTTGATTTTATTGAGTCCATCCATGATGAATCAGGTGGATGCTCGTTCATTGCAACATAAATTTCACAGAGCTGCCTCCTTTTCTTACCTATGTTGCTTGCTTATTGTTTAAAATAAAAATGAGTATTCAGTTAAAAACAAAGCTGCAAGCATTGTATCTGGCAGCTGAAAACACAGTATGGTGAGTAGCTCATGAAACCTATATCCAAAGAGTATGAAAGTCATCTCTGTGTGTGTATAGATGAGGCTGGCTTCCCTTCTTCTGCAGTTTTTGTTCGGTTTCCTGAAAGCTGCTGAAGAGGTCTGAAACTTACAATTCTCTCTCTTACTACATCCAGTCAGTTTTTATAAGAAGGTGAATGGTGGAGAGGGGTGAATTAAGAATTAATAAATATTTTAAAATGATGGTTTCCTTGACTCTGTTTTTATTTTATTTTTTTCTTAGGTGGCAGTGCAGATAATGTTTTGTCTCAGATTGCAGCCCAAAGAAGAAAAGCAGCAGGCTTACCTGAACAGAAACCCAGCCAACAGCATAGTCCAGTCCAGTCAACTCCTTCATCCACTCTGTCTGATTTGCATTGTGCTCAAATTGTTGGCAATGGACATGTTGTAAAGGTACAGAGAACTGTAAATGTTTGTACTTCCAAATTGGCTAATTTTAGTAGGTCATTTCTCAGTCATGGGTGGTTGATAAGTATAACTGCATGACATTGAACAGCCTAAAATGAATGAACACCTGTTACAGTAGTGGAAACTTTTCAGCTCCACAAACCTTCCTTTTAATTACAAATCTACAAAAGATCAGACCTAATAATAAAACATGCTTGTGCTTTATTATTAATTTCACTGTATTTTAAAAACAGTAAATGTAATACTTGATCTTATGGCAGATCTGCACTGTTATTTTGGTTTCTAATTATTTCTTGCTATGTCCTTGATTGAGTCCAGTGTTTTATGTTACTTATTCCTGGGCTTCACTCTGAAGTGGTACAGCTAGGTTCCCACCGAAGGCACAACCTCAGTGCAGAGCATGAGGTAATTTTTACCAAGATCTGCCCACCACAACAATATGCGTGTATCCAGTCTGCTCCACGAGGTGTTATTTTTAAACAGTATGAACATTAAGTTGTCATCACCAAAGTCAGGGTTTGCTCCTGAGTGCAGGCTGTATTATCTGCGCTGTCTTACCTATCAATTTTCTGGAATAGCTTTACCCTCATGACCTGCCCATTTTTGTGCGTGTACTTTCAAGTTAACAGCTGCTTTGTACAAAATTTTTAAGGATTAAGATTTTAAATCTTCAAAATCTGCAGAGGCACAAGTTAGAAAGCAGTATCGTAACAGAAGATGTGATGCACTATTGTGAAATGTATGGGTTTATTCACACAGAGAAACATTACATTTCAGAGAGCAAGAGAAAAAAAGCAGATCATTTGGGGTTTTATTTCTAATGTCTGGTACTCTGAAAATGTTCGAGTATATGACCAAGAGCAAAATTTCTCAACTTTTTGCTTGTGTAATCTCCCAACAGCTCGTTTTGCTTCGTTTTGTTATCTTTGCATCTTTTCATGAGATTCTTCTCAAAGTTTTGCCCGAGGAAAAAAACTGGCCAGTGTATAAAATTATTACATTTGCTGCCTCATTCTGTGATGTCTTATTTGGCAACAGTAAGAATTATCTATATTTAATCAGTAAATGTCAATGATAAATGAAGTTACAAAGTTGTTCAGTGATTTAATTGCAATTTCTGGAGGACAAAAATCAGAAAAACAAAAGTGTGAATCTGATGCTGATTCTGAAGGGACTACTTATTGCTTTTCAAAGATGAGATTGGGAGCTAAAATTTATAACTGTGCTGGACCCCCAAAAGCTATGGGCTCATACTGATTCTTTGGCACATGATAATCTTTCCTCCTTTTCTATCCCATGTAACTGCTCCCCGGGTTGTAAATGATCTGTCTCTTTCTTTCCTGTAGACAAAGCCACTTTATTATCCTCTTCCCTCATTAAAGTCTTCTCTACTGAACAGCTACCAAATGCTTTTTCTTACAGGGGTGGTCTTGCCAATGTATTTCTAATTAAACTCTCAGCAGTTCCTCTCAGCTTGTTTTTAACTTGGAAGTCATTTCAGAAGAGCTGCTTGTGTGTCCCAAAAATCTTATTTTTCTCCAGTTATATTAGTTGGCCTATTGAGAGTTAATACTTGTGCTTGTGAGCTTTGAGCTGCAGATCTTGGCGCCTGTTGTTGCAACAATGCTGCCAGTAAGAAGTTTAACTATTATTCCCACTCACAGTGGAAGACATTAAGGGATAAAGAAGTAGTGAGGTGCAATGCCCTGCAGATCATCTTCTGGGAAGGCATTTCATCATACTGTTGAAAAGGTTTTTAAATAAAAATTATGCCAGTATGTTGGAAAGGCAACAGCTGTTTCAGTGCTCTTTGCTTACATGTCTAGATGAGTTTCAGTCTATCCACCAATAACAATACACGTAATCAGTTTGGATCTCGCTATAGAGGTTCATGTATCACGTCTGAGGTGATATTTGGGACATCAGTGTCTGTTGGGAGTACACAACCACATATGAATCCACACTGGCTGCAAAAGCTTAAACGGTCTACTTTGCTGTTTTAATCAACAATATAAATGCTGAAAATTTAATGTCTGTATCCATTGTGGAATTGTTTGTGCCCTCCCATTAGGATCATGCTGTCTAAACTTAGAAATAGCTGATCTAAAAATGCTGTGATATTACACTGGTCATTTTGCAGAAGTTATCCATGAGGGGTGGGATTGTAGAAGCCTTAAAGGAAGGGAAGACCACGGCCAATAACAGAATACAGGGAAATTTGGGACAAAAAATCAAAATTAGTTCCCTATGCGTTTCAGAGACCTCTCAAATTCGTATCATGCGACATTACTTCTGGGCAATTCAATGCAGGGCTAAGGAGGTGGTACATTCTAGCATAAGATAGAGTAATGGAAGAATGTTACCGTTCAAATCAGTTTTATCTTTTTAATACGATCTCTTTCATTTACTAGAAAAGTTCCATTTATACCATAGCACAGAAGCAAAATTGTAGAGAGGCAGGAACCACCATCATTCTCCTTTCTTGCCTTCTTACCCAGCTCAATTTTTTCCTTATGTGTTTCTTGGAGCAGCCTGACTGACAAAAGGTATTTTAAGTTAAAATCTGAATTCAGGAATCCAGGAGAAAATCACCTGAGCCTTCTTTTTAGGTCATGTAATGCAAACATGGAAATGTGTGAAGTGGTACATATATTGAGGAGTTTAGGAGATGAGGTACATTAGCTTTGTAAAAGGCTGATGTACATACATATCTATTATTCTTTATTTTAATTTGCCTGTTTTCCTCTTTTCCATGCCTCCAAATGTATTATGTATTTGCAAAATATCTAAGAAATTTTAATAATTTGACTCATGTTAGGTAATAACAAGTTTAAGGGTTGACTGGAAACTTTCATTCCAGTGCAGCAAGGGGTTTAAATACACCTGAAACCTAGTTTATGCGTGCTACATATTTCTGGTTAATCCAGCATGAAGTGCTACTTTAAATTAGCATCTGATATATTTTTAAAAGCTTTGATTGATGCTTTATTTATTTAATTAAATTTCTGAATGAAGAAGACCTTTTTTTCAGAGTCAAATTAATTTTAGCTTTTATAAAAAGAATAATTGTACTCTTTGTATATAGTATTGCTTGATAAGAAATAATTTTTTTATTCCAAAATTACAACTTTAATAAATGTGTTTTTCTTGATGAATTTGGGGGGACAGACTCTCACCTGGGATAAATCAGTATTGCTCCAATTATTTCAATATGAATCAAGCAGAAACTTCTGGTTGTGACTATATACTCTGGAGAAATGATAAGCAACTTAAGTAATATTGAAGCATCATATATGGGTAAACACTTTTTCTTTTTTTTAACTGAAATGATTATATCATTAACTACAGCAAAAACTGGAGATGAATAAAAGACCTCCATCTGGGACTTCATCTACATCTAAAAGCACATCACCAACTCTCACACCTTCCCCATCACCCTCCCCGTCTCCTAAGGTTCACAACACAGAGTCCTCTCTCTCTTCTTCTCACAGACAGGCCAAGAGCAATGGTTCCAGCAGTGGTACTGTTACAGAAGATGGTGAGTAGGTCGCTGTAATTATGGGACATTCATTAATCAGGAGCACGAAGTGCTTAAAGCTATAACTGTGCTGGATTAGTGTGTATCTGCATAAGTGAGAACTTTTTTCTTTCTAGAAAGAATATTTTGGTGTTTCTTACTGCGAAATTGATATTCCTGCAGTAACTGGCTATTTCTCTTCCCAAAGCTATCATCCCTTACATTTAGAGGGAGATTGGTACCATCTCAAAGCCAGCATAGATCACCCTTACGTGGCCTCCTTCCTTCCCCTCTTTCTGGCTTAAATCCTGTTTTTCACCCTTTGCTGAGGGTAGAAAAATGCACTTTCTCCACATTCAAAATGATTATTTTTTTAACAAATGCAGTGAAGCATATCGCTACAGAAATACAGTTTTGATTCCTAGCAAGTCATAGCTGCATGCGATTGATTTTTAAGAGCTGTATTGCATTTATTTTTTTAAAATGGCAGCGGTAGCCTTATTTTGACCTTATTTTTAACTTTCAGTCATAAGAAAGGATAATAATGTTACTACTTTTCCAATAAGATTACTGTCTTTTAAGTTGAACTTTTAGGTCTAAATTACAACACTTTATTTTAAAAAGTCATGTTGCATTGGAAACAGGATATCAATTACTTTGTTTTCTTTTGTAAACATCTCAAAAAAGTGAAAAAAATAACACATCTGACAATCTTTTAAATAAGAGATGGAGATACCTTTTATCTGGTTTCTGCAGGAGACACTTTGTACTTTTTGGGGGGGTTTTTTTGAAAGTGTCCATATTGATTTGGTTTTGTTTTCATTTATGCTGAGTTTGTCCGTTGTCACTGTATTTCCATTTGACACTAAAGAGAGTTGACATTTGACCCGCTTTCCATCCTTTTATCATGGCTTAGCTGTAACATGTTGTACTGATTGCTGGAGAAAATTCTTTCACGTTTTAGTTAGTGCCATTTTATAATGATGGCCTGATAACATAAGAGTTGTCAGTTTAGAAATATATAAAAGGAAGAGAACTTGCTGTCGGATAACAAGGGGAATTCCCCAAGTTATCAGCTCTTACAATCTCACCTGGAGAAGCCGAGCTTTATGGCTGCACCACTAGTGCCATGATACAGTGAGTTTCCTGTGTAGCAGAGGAATAGGTTGTCAGAAGCCTAAGTAGTTCTGGGTTCGTTGTGCTTGTAAGCTGTCTCGTAGTTATATGGTCCTTTAATTCAAGGGCTTCTCTTACTATGAGTTGATTCAGCAACAACAGTACAAATGCTCAGTAATTGGAAGAATAAGTACAGAAGCCCTGCAATGTTAACTTTTCTTTCAAGTAAATTGAAATTAATTCGAAAATTGATTTGCATTGAATATTACTGTGAAGGAACAGTAGGCAGCAGGGTTCAGAGGTGTGCCTGGTTTCTTTTTAGGCAACCACTTGGTGGACCATCAACAGCTTGTCCCTATTCTGAGAACCAGTGATGTAGAGAATCATGAGAGACGAAACCATGTGAGAGTAAAAGGAGGCTCTGAAAACTTGGAGAAAGGTAATCTTACTCTACTACTACAGAGTAGTACAAAAGAGGTGCTAAATAGGAGTGATGTGGCAGAAGTAGTAAGAGCTCTGAGAACCTTTGATTTTTCTAGGTATGTAGGTAGGGAGACAAGACATGACTAGAGCAAAAGAAAGCCTAAGTGAAAAAGGAAAGGAGGAACAATGTGTTATGCAAGAGTTGTAAAACTGAGAGGTTTCAGGTTTTGTTCAAAATTAGTGTTTAATACTGGAAAAAAAAGGGAAAGAGGAAAAGAAAACATGAAAGGCCTACAGCTGAAAGCATTGTCTCTGTGAAAAGTGTTAGATGTTATGGTTGTTTATGACAGCAAGGCTCTGGGCTCAGATCCCCTGAAAGTTTCTTCCCATATCACAACCTATAATTTAAGCACATCAGTGCAATGAAAAATTAGAAGGCTAACTAACAACCCGAAAGAAAAAAAGGTTAATAATATATATAAGGGCTTGTAATAAAGCTTTTATTTTCTTTCTGTAAGATGATATTTTACATCAGACTGCATGGAGAAGTTCTCATGCTTTGTTTTTAAAGCTGGTTACCTTTTCCCATGGATTAATCTCAGTTAGGGTACTAAAGGTTTTAGCCTCAAACCATGCCAACCTTTACAGATCATGTTAAGCATACCAAATTAATTGGCCTTGAGGTAAAATACCAAAACCCTAACAGAAAATAAGACTCAACTAGAATTTTTCACTCCGGTTTTCTGTGAGCTCTTCCATGTAAAGAAGGAGGCTTCCTGAATGGTGCACAGAAAAGTGTGTCCATCTCAAAATATCCGATGTCTTTTGAGAAGCTTAGAGAGCGAGTTTCTCTCTCACGTTTCTACTGATGATGAAAGAAAAAGACAAATAAGTGAACATAAAATAAAAGTATATTTGGGAATGGATTCGTCATGTCTTTACAAGGAAAGTGATTTTATATGGGGAGTATTAAATATAGTTTGGTTGTGTAATGTAATCATTTGTGTTCTTCAGTTTGACTTTGACTCCTTAGTTTAACTGGCCGCTTTGGTACTTCCAGGGGAAAAAAAAAAGTCACTTGTGACAGTAAAGCAATAAGAATGAACAGAATCCTTAGTTGAGAGAGATAGTATTTAATCAAGAGAGATGATGGCGGGTTATTCTAAAACTGCACTTACGCTTTTAAACTGGCTAGTCACATTTTAAATGTGTGGGAAGAGTCACTATCAGGTCCTCCAACTTTTAATTTCCTGAGACTTTGGGAGGAAACCTAATACCAAGTGCTGTTAGCCTTGGAAGGTAAGCATATGAAAATCAAATTCTGCCTCAGTTTCATCTTAGCTGGACTTAATGTGTTCAGGGTGCCTGGATGTGAGACAATTAAGGTGAAGAGGTTCAGATTGTGGTGAGTTGACCTTGGCTGGATGCCAGGTGCCCACCAAGCCACTGTATCACTCCCCATCCTTAGCTGGACAGGGGAGAGAAAATATAATGAAAGGTTTGTGTGTTGTGATACAGACAGGGAGATCACCAAGCAGTTACTGCCATGGGCAAAACAGATTCGACTCAGGGAAATTAATTTAGTTTATTTACAATCAAATCAAAGTTGGGTAATGAGAAATAAAACCCAAATCTTAAAACACCTTCCACTCACCCCTCCCTTCTTCCTGGGCTCAACTTCACGCCCATTTTCTCTACCCCCTCCCCCCAAGCAGAGCTAGGGGATGGGGAATGGGGGTTGTGGTCAGTTCATCACATGTTGTCTCTGCTGCTCCTTCCCTCTGAGGGGGAGGACTCCTCAAACTCTTCCCCTGCTCCAGCGTGGTGTCCCTCCCACGGGAGACAGTCCTCCACAAACTTTTACAACACGAGTCCTTCCCTCAGGCTGCAGTTCTTCACGAACTGCTCTAGTGTGGTTACTTTCCACAGGGTGCAGTCCTTCAGGAGCAGACTTCTCCAGTGTGGGTCCCCCTCAGGGGCACAAGTCCTGCCAGCAAACCTGCTTCAGCGTGGGCTCTTCTCTGCACAAGTCCGCAGGTCCTGCCAGGAGTCTGCTCCAGCATGGGCTTCCCATGGGCTCACAGCCCTCTTTGGGCACATCCACCTACTCCAGTGTGGGGTCCTCCATGGGCTGCAGGTGGATATCTTCTCCACCATTAACCTGCATGGGCTGCAGGGGGACAGCCTGCCTCACCATGGTCTTCACCAGGGGCTGCAGGGGAATCTCTGCTATGGTGCCTGGAACACCTCCTCCTCCTCCTCCTCCTCCTTCACTGACCTTGGTGTCTGCAGAGTTGTTTCTCACATATTCTCCCTGTTTTCTCCAGCTGCTATTGTGCAGCAGGTTCCCCCCCATCTTATATATGTTATCACAGAGGTGTTACCACCATTACTGATGGGCTTAGCCTTGGCCAGTGGAAGGTCTGTCTTGGAGCCGGCTGACATTGGCTCTGTCAGACATAGGGTTTTTTAAGATCCTTTTAATGGAGAAGAAAGAGCAATACAACAGAAAGATTTTTATCCTAGCAAGGTAAGACTAGGTAGAATTACAGTATACAGAAGTAGGTAGGAACACAATAACCCAGTATTTTAATTTCTGATGTAGAATAAATGTGATTGTTTGTTTCTTTTTATCATGTATCACTGTGTGGAATGTATGTTTTAATATACATTTTCAGCAGTTAACAATGCAGAGATACGTAAAATCTTTCCTGATCCATGTGGGTTTTTTAATTTTCTTTTTCTTTTCTGTTATTACAGATGAGCTGACTGGCATCCTTAAAAAATTGTCACTTGAGAAGTATCAGCCTATTTTTGAGGAACAAGAGGTACATCTTTTTTAAGATTTATTTTTTACTGTTTTAGAAAAAGTAGGGTGTGACACACATTGCATCAGCATTGCAATCCAGAATCTCACATTTAAAATTTTACAGCCATTTCTGGTTGCAGAGAGGACCTTGAAACTTGGACCAAGTGGTACTCTTGGCATTCTATAGGATACTGCAAATATCAGTACTTTTTACACTGAACCTACAGTTTTGATACAGATAGGTGCTTCAGATTTTTTTTTCTCTGTTTTTAAATTCTGCTTTTTCTATATATGTTTGTACCAAATGTGGCTAAACAGTTAGTAGGATATACTGTATCATCCCTGGAATCACAGCTGGAACCTCATTTGCCGATTGGAGAACAGCAGGGTGTGAGTCACCGAGATGACTGCTTTCTCTTCTTCATCCACTATGAATAAGCAACAGGAGAAATAGATTGGGGAACCTAAGCATCATTGTAGACGAGGCCGGTGACAGTGACTTGCCTGAAGGATGCAATGAAAGGAAACATTGCTGAAAATATGTAAAATTAATTCATTACAATGTTTAAGACAGTATCAGATGTGAGCAATAATTGTGTGTTTGTTTGGCCAAAGGCAAAGGGTAGTGAATGGACATACAATAAATTGACATTGCACCACAAACACAGATTATTTAGCTGCATCACAATACACTGGGCTTATTATCATTCCTATACACGATAGGCAAGGGAGCATTTTGTAGAAATTAATATTCTCTCTGTGTGAAGGTTATATCAATATAAAAAGTTTTAGGTGTTTGTTTGAATCACAGCCTTATGGATGTGTTGATATAATAAAAACCCTGATATATGAGCAAACCTTAGGTTTTCCTCAGGAGACACTGGAAAAGTACACACAATATTCTGAAATTAAAAAAAAATACTTGGAGGAAGGGAGGAGGAAGAAAAGAGAGAAATCTTGGGCTTATTTAACTAGCTGCTACTGTAAGTACAGGAATTTTTCTGGAGCGTATATATTTTGTATTGATGGAGCTCATCTGAAAAGAAAAAACATCCATTAATATTTTAAAAATACTATCAGAATTAGTTGATTAATAATCAGGTTTGGGTATTGGTGCACGAGAAGCTCAACATGAGTTGGCAATGTGCACTTGCAGCCCAGAAGGCCAGATATATCCTGGGCTGCATGAGAAGTGTGGCCAGCAGGTTGAGGGAAGTGATTCTGCCCCTTTACTCTGCTCTCATGAGACCCCACCTGGACTATTGCATCCAGCTCTGGAGCCCCCAACATAAGAAGGACATGGACCTGTTGGAGTGAGTCCAGAGGAGGGCCATGAAGATGATCCGAGGGCTGGAGCACCTCTCCTGTGAGGAGAGGCTGAGAGAGTTGGGGCTGTTCAGCCTGGAGAAGAGAAGGCTCTGGAGAGACCTTATAGCAGTCTTCCAGTACCTAAAGGGGGCCTACAGGAGAGCTGAGGAAGGACTTTTTACTAGGGCATGTAGTGATAGGATGAGGGGGAATGGCTTTAAACTGGAAGAGGGCAGGTTTAGATTAAACGTTAGGAAGAAATTTTTCACTATGAGGGTGGTGAGACACTGGCACAGGTTGCCCAGGGAAGTTGTGGATGCGCCATCCCTGGAGGTGTTCAAGGCCAGGCTGGATGGGGCTTTGAGCAACCTGGTCTAGTGGGAGGTGTCCCTGCCCATGGCAGGGGGTTGGAACTAGATGATCATCAAGGGCTCTTGCAACCTAAACCATTCTATGATTCTATGAATAAACAGCAGATTTAAAACCTAACAATGGTAGAGTGGGTACCATTTGGTGCTGATAATTCATTAAAAATTTTTGTGTGCACAATATTTACAGTAAGTCTATACAACTAAAAAAAAACCCAACAAACTTTTAACCTGTAATAGTGAATCTTTGCCTAGGTAAATTTGTCTTACGTTTTTTCTTTTTTTTTCTTTTCATATGCAGGTGGATATGGAAGCCTTCCTTACACTTACTGATGGTGATCTGAAAGAGCTGGGTATTAAAACTGATGGATCAAGGCAGCAAATTTTGGCCGCTATTTCTGAGCTGAATGCAGGAAAGGTACATTTTGAAGTGCTGTATTTAGTAAATTAATTCAAGGTTTGGTTATGTTGTTAATTCAACATACATTTCAAAATTCAATTGCAGATGTTAGTTAGAAAAGCCAAATTAATGTTTTCCAAACAAAAATATTTCATGTATTTGATTAGTGAAAAATATCTTCTTTTGTGGTACTCCCTGTTCTCTTTCAGTAGCTTTTTCCTAGTTCAGTTACCGTACAGTTCTTTTACAGAGTATTGGAAATTTTATGAGAAGCTGCTGGTAACATGAATGTTGGCAATATTGCAGTTACTGAATATTGATTTCAGTGATGCTAAAAAGAATTCTCTGGCCACTATAGTCCAGTTATATAACTTAAAAGGAAGGGCCTCCTTTGTTTTGCCTAACAGTTTTTGATTTCTCTGTGATTAAGTAAATAGTACTTCTCTCATTGCTTTTATTTTTATTGCCTTTTAACTTTACATTGACATAAACAAATTTGCTAAGAATGGCATGTGGTAAGCAATGTTCTTGCCAGAGGGGTTATAGACTGGAGCATCTCTTTAACTAGGCCTGCTCACACTTCCTAGTTGCTTTTTCAGTCTTGAGGTCCATTCTCTCTCTGATACTGGAAGCGGAGATAAACAAAACGTAATTTCCCCAAGTTAAGATCAACAGCAGCAAGTGATGAGGCTAAAAATTAGGGGAGGTGGGTGATGCTCCATGCTATAAAGCTATGAAGAAAATAATGAAAATGTTTCTATTGCTGTGTGGTAGTTTCAGGAAAAGATTACCTCCCAAATATGTAGAAAACCTTGAAGTAAATTTTTGCTATTGTTCCTAATAGTACACTGACTCTCTGGGCATAGACACACATTCACCCTTTTTTTTTTTTTTTTATGAACTCTTATTAAATTTGTCTTTTAAACAGAAATTTAAGAATACCTTATTTTAATTTATTGTGCTTTTACAGGGACGAGAGAGACAGATATTACAAGAAACTATACACAACTTCCACTCTTCCTTTGAGAGTAGTGTTAGTAACACACGACCTCCAGGTCATTCCCAGTGTAAGTAGCACCTGAAATTAATTGAAAATTGTATGGATACTTTTAATTATTACTGGCTAGAAGACAGAATGTGACAAACAGGCCAGTTAACTGCTTTCTGGGTTAATGATTGATGTATGTCTGTGTCTTTTGCTGAGACTGTAGAGAAGATTTCAAGGCAAAAAGGTAGAGATACCTGTAAGATTTTTATATGCACTTGAGTACTATCTGAAGTAAGATTTTTGTTATGCATTACTAAATATAGAAAATGGATGTAAGTATATCAAACTATAGTATACAGTATACTTTCTATAGTGTGTGTATATATAGGAGCAGTGGGAGGTGCGTTTCTGTATGATACCTAATTTACTTTTGCATACTTTTTATGGGAGACAGTTTTCTTTTGTGTGATCAATTAGATTAAATATATTCAAGGTTTACAATTTAGTATACTGCCTTTGATAGCTATGTTAATTATGTTAACATAGTATAACTGCTATTTGGGATTTGATAACATGTATGTGTGCATTTAGTTATTTTGTATAGGTAATATTTTTATATGATTGTCTATAGTTGGTTTCTTTGGAGTGTTAACTGCTAGCCATTGATGCCTTTTAAAATGTGCTATATGCAGTCAAAATGTACAGAAAGGTGTTGCTGACCCGTAACAAATGAATGCATTTACTCTAGTCACCCCTAGATAAAAAAGCTGCAAACCTCTGTCCTGCCAGCCACCTGGGCCATAGGCAAATATGCATCTGTTACTCAAGTTTAAGGAATGGGGCAAAACTTATTCATATGTGTATTTCTGGATCCGTGTTTTAGGAGGAGCATGAAAGCCATTGAATGGCCTCAAGAAATTCACCATGTTAAAGGGCCTCTTACTCTCCTTCAGTTGCTTATTTTGCTGCTTGCATCCACTCACAAAATAATTTGTTTAGTGGTTATGTTAAATAATATTTCAGGTATTGTATGCTTTAGGAGGCCTTAATAATGAGCAAGTCCCAGTTGTTCCAGTCTCAGTCAGCTGCATATCACTAGATACGTGAAAGCACGTGCTAACTGTTGTCCTGCTGTTGTCTTGGGGAAAACTGGGCATTGCTGGGGTAGCTAGTCAATGTGGACTTCTTTCTATATTCCGTACAGTCTGCTTGGCTGAAAGCCACTGTCAGGTGTCACGGTATGCATTGTGCAGCTTACTTCCCATTCTCAGAGTAGTCAGCATGTGTGGGAACTTCTGGATGTCTCTTGATAACATCCCAGGCTTCAAGAGCCTCTTCTGTAGGTACTACTAGGTGAGCAGAAGCTGCTATTTGGGATTTGATAACATGGTGCAATGAACTGGAAGTATTCAAGAACTGAAGAAGCGTACAGATGTAACATGTCTCCAAGCAACTTGCTAACCACTGAACTTAAGTGTCTTAAAGACAGCAAAAGATGGTAATGGTGACAGAGAGTTGAGGGGAACATCCTTTTGTAAGGACGGAGGCAACAGTTGCTCCTGCTGACAAGATGCTACAAGAAAACTTTTGGACTTTGGAGTTTTTATGTGCAAGTGCTCCATGAAATAGATCTGAGTGTGAAACAGCAACAGAAGCACTAGCAGAGAAGGAAGAAAACGTAGATAAAAGAAGTTTCCACCCCAGGTAAGCTGCTTTTTATTGTAAAAAGTAGCAGTGGGACCTTTATGCACTCTCTGGAACTTGAAGTAATTTCCAAGAATGTGTAATGTTTTAGAGCATAAGAGCAGCTGTACCGAGTCAGATCCAAGGTCCATACAGTTGTGTTCAGCTTTTTCATCCAGTCTCATTTGACATTGATGTGAAGCGTTGCTTGCTTTGATTTGCTGTGAACTCGCCGTCTCCTGACTTCTTTTGCTTCATCCTACTGGATCAGAAGATACAGTGGACAATTGTACCCTCTTCGCTGGCTCCATGCCACTGGTGATTCTGCAGATACCTGTGATACTCTTCCTCAGTCATGTTTTTTCCAGACGGAAGACTTACAGGCTGCTTAATCATACCCTATACCATAGTTTTTCTGATGCTCTTTTCCTTTTCCTCTATATCCTTTCAGATGTGGAGGTGCCAGCCTAGCACAGAATATTCAAGATGTAGGCGTACCGTGGATTTACACATGATGCAGTGATGTTTGTTTTTCAGTTGTGTTCTCTATTTTTGGTTCTCTTGCCCTTTCCTAGTTATTTCTAGTACTCTGCTTTTCTGGCTATAACTGAAGACTGAATCGGTGCTAATTAGAACTCTCTCTTATAACCCAGCTCATGTACTGAGCTTGAGGCTCAGACCCTATCATTTTATATAACCACTGAAACATTTTTTCCATATGCCTTACTTCGTATAACTTCATATTTATCTCAGTCAAATTTTGTCTGCTGTCTTATTGTCTGGGCACTGATGTCTCATGAAGTCCTTTTGCCAGTCTTCTGTTTGCCTTTCTTTATATTTACATGAGTAACTTATGAAAGTTTGTCACTTCGCTCTACATGCCCTTTTGAAATTGTATATTGAATATCCTGAGTCCTTGTGCAGATCCCCATGGAAATGCTAGTGGTCTCTCCCACCTTGTGTCCTCTGCCTTCCTAGCTGATAATTTATTCACACAAGAAATTTTCTTTTTACCCTGTGGCTTCCTGATTGTCTTGAGAGCCAGCCTTGGACCTTGTGAAATGCCTTTTAAAAATCCAGGCATCAAGTGGATCTCTTTTTATCTACGGGACTGTTGGCACCTTCAAGGAATTCTAGTAGGTTGGTGAGGCAAGACTCTTCAAATTCTTTTTTGATAGCTTTCCACAAAATTTCAGATTCTTTGTTATAGTGCATGCTAATCTGCCTGGCACTACTGGTCATCTCACTGGTCTGTGTTTCCCTGGATCTCCTCTTGAACCATTAAAAAAAAATAGGATCATTTTTATCACTTCTCGGTTATGTGGCAGTTTAAACAAGAACCTGTGCTCTGTACTCAGCAGTAAGCTGCTCAGTCCAGAACATCTGGCTTAGCAATTTGTTATTATGTGCTTTGTGTGTTTGTTTCATAACTTTTTTACTAATACTTCAGGTTAAGATACCTTGGGCTCCCACATAAAGGGGCTTCTGAAATGGGAACTTTCCCAAGCTTTTCCATGGTGAATACGTTCGTTTTTTCTGATGTCAACTTACTTCTCTAGCTCATTACACTCTAACCATTGATTGGCATCATGGCATCTGTAACTGGCTACTTCCTGGAATGTGTTTGAAAAGTAGGATGTGAAATTTTTATGTTTTTTGCATGGTCCACAGCCACTGTTTTTTCTACAGCTCTTCCTAGAAGCCTATCTGGACACCATTAGCAAGAAAGCCAGTTCATGGTTTGCCCTTTCAGAAAGCTAGATGTAGCTCACGGGGTAATAAAAGCATCCTGCTCTTCTAGCTGTGTCAGTGTCATTGTTTACACACCTATCTCTGCAATTTCCTCAGTATTTTGAATAATTTTAAAAGCTCAATACCTAAAATGGAGTGGCTGCCAGTGTAGCTCTGCTTTTATGAAGTTTGCAGCTTGTAGGGGTATAAATAAGACAGTGAAATACAATTCAAATATATCCATGAGACTCAGAAATGAAAAAGCAGGAGAAAAGAAACTAAATACTCACTTTCTGGAAATGTAGATTGTAGTTGTGGGAGGTGTGTAGGCTGACTACCATCACCAAGCCTGGTCTACAGCTTCCAGACCCTTCCCCATCCGTAGCTCTGATGCCCACTTACTTCCAGTTCCCCTCAAAATGCCCCAGTGCACTCTGCCTAGGCTCAGCCCCTCTCCTGCTGCCACTGGGTCAGGAGCTGTTGCTGCTCATCAAACCTGGTATGAGATGGTGGGCAAGAGAAATAGAAAAGCATCTAGGTGAGTATTTCTAGAATGGAAAAGAGAATTGCAGTGATTATCTACATTTCCACATCTAAGGAATGTGGGCGAAGGAAAACAGCAATAGGCAGAAAAAGTAAATGCAAGACCATCAGAAGTAGCGGATTGATGGTATAACTAATTTTACACAAAGGCTTGTTTAGAGAAGTTACTACAGTTTCTTCTCCATGTATTTTTGGCAGTTCAAAATCAATTGCTGCTTTGTATCCTCAGCTAGCTTCTGGTTGAGCACCTCCCGCTGAGGTCATTGCTCCTGAACTTGCTGTGATACTTGCTACAAGAACTCGTAGAAAAGTTGTTGAGCATTTGTTGAGTTTTGGCAGATAAGCTATTTCAATTATAATAAATCTCACAGCTGGAAGAGATTCCTTTTTATATCAGTTGCATCCCTGAGGCTGATAGTGAGCTGATTCTGCTTTGTGGAAAACAACAGGCTTTGACATACGTTTGTTTTCTGTCAGAAGGATACTGAGACCACGTCCTCACCAGCCCACACCAGTGATACCAGGTTAGGCTGTGGGAGCTCCATACTCCAGTCCTTGCCTGAACTGCATTAAGGCAGGTGACTGCCCTAACTGCAGTATAGTGGATTAGTGGTTCAGTGGTTACTGGACCCGTAAGCCATTAGTTCTTGCCTGTACACTGAATAGGTGAACAGTACTTGCGTGGAGAGTGTTGCCTCCATCTCATTTTTAAATGGAAGTGAATTTGTGACCTTCAGAAAATTCTGCCGAAATTCATTCATTCTGAGAGTGAATGTTACAGGTTTTTTCGATGCTTTGGTAGTTTTCAAGGGGAAAAAATACGGCTTGAAAAATTGCTGATGCGTGCTAATCACCCTGTCCCTGACAAGAGAAACTACTAGGAAGGTACTGCTTCTTTATAACCTAGTGAACTGTGTCAAACAAACTCAGAATTAGCTTGCTGCTTTACTATGTAAATTTAGAGCAGATGACCAGCCCATGGAGGCACGAGGCAAGATGACTGCTCTGAGGAACAAAACGCTCCTCCTTGGTCTGGACTCTGACTTCAATGAAACAGCAAGTGGCAGCATGAAGTCCAGATTTTCAAGGAAACTGGACTTAAACAATTAGATCACCCCAGGAAATGTTCATGTCTGTAGTTTGAGGTAAACTTCTTGCTTACATGATTCTGGTAAGAAAGAAAATCAGACTTTTTGAATGCCCAGTTGCCAGGACTAATTGTTTTGGGTTTTTTCTGTTGTGGGTTTTTTTTTTTTGGGGGGGGGGGTGGGGGGGGGTGTGTGTGTGTGTAGTGTAAAGATTCATGCAGTCATCAAGTGGATAAGAGGTTGAAATGGTCTCTGGGTTTATTGAAAGAAATTACACCAAGGGAGAGAGAGTTGTATCTCAACATAACTTGCCAAATCGGAAACGAAAAGCTGAAAAAAGTTCATGTGAATTCTGTGAAATTATACAGGGGTTGGGGGGGGAGCAAACCAACTGAAATTATTTCTTCCAGAAGAGTAGAAATAAAATCCCATGTGCTAGTTGCAATATGTATGTAAGTGTTTTGATCCGTAATAAAAAGTGGAAACAGTTCATGGAGTTCCCTTGTCCAGGTCTGGGGCTGGTAACAGAATTTGTCATTTCTACAAAAATGATGTGAAAAAAGCAAGAGAGCATCCAAGGTTTATACTCTGAAGGAGACAGTCTTCTTTTTCTCCTAGGGCATTTCTTAACCTCATTACGGAAAAAAAAACCAAACAATGATTTGTTGGAGTAAAGCTAACAGCCAGTTAGCTTAGATTACCTTCTAATTTCAAGTTTATTGAAATGCTCAAAAGAAAAAGATGAGCCATGTCACTTGGTATAGACATCCAGCCGCTCCACCTAAACAGCACTTCTCTTGTAACAGGTGGGAAGAAAAGAGAACACCCCAACATCTAGCAGGGCCATTGAACAAAGGGAGGACTTAGATACCAAAAGAATAAACTGAATATTCTCCAGATACAAGTTCAATGAAGAGTAACTATGCCTATGATGAAAAAAAGAATATGATGCCATTCAATCTATAATTCTTTGCGGTAATTCTGGTCTTCCAGTTTCTCTTTACATATAATAGTATGTTGCATATTGATACATACTTACACATATGTATCTGCAGATAGATACATAGGTATTTTAAAAGATGTGACAGAATAAAGTGGAAAAGAGTGTGGAGTCGTTTGTATATTTACTTTCCACTGTTGGATTCAGAGTCAAAAATATCAAATGAAAATTATCCAAAGGAGGGAGTTAGAAAGATCGCTGAGTGATAAGTAAAAACAGGAGCAAAACCAATATAGACTTGAAAAGAAAAATCATACAGGATTCGGGTAGTTCCTTGCTGGAAAGGTACACATTGAAAAAAGAGAGTTACTGGAAAGGTTTGTGGCAGTAGATGGCCTTTTCACACGTGACTTTGACTTTTGATACCTTCTCTGTACAGGAGAGAGCTTAAGATGTATAAAATTAATTGCAGGTTCAAATTGTTGGAGTCTGGTATAATAATGATATTGGGAAATGTGAGCCTGTTTCCACTAGTTGTAGATTTACTCTGGCTTCTTTAAAGCTGTGAGTGTTGCTGGTTGTAATTTTTCTTTTCTTTTCTTTTTTTTTCTCTTTTACAGCACCTGGCTGCTCTATAAAACCACAAGAAACTGTTTCTCCTAAAAGGTAGCTATGGGGAAAAAAAAGAATATTTTTCTTATGGTGAAGTGTCGCATCTGGCTGAGTAAATCCAAGCGTACAAATGAAAATTTGAAAAGTTAGTCCAAACTACACCTGTATAGGAGTTTCTGCGGTAGTGTACTTAAAATTCAAATCCCACAAAGAATCAAAAAAAACAATAAAGAGATTGCTTTTACAATTCAGCCTAAGTGTTGAATTGTTCAAAGTGTCAGTGGTCTGGACTTAAGAAGAACAAAGCTGGAAGAATGAAGAACATATAAGAAGATTAATGTTTTCATTCTAGTCTTGCCCATAGATGAAGAACCCATAGGAGGCCTGCATGGGCAAAGTCAAGAACACCAAAAGCACGGAAAAAGGCATGAAAACCACCGCAAATAATAAGAGCCTCTACATGGAGAAATATATAAACTGAATAATAAACTAAATAAATAAACTCTGTTGACTGCATACAGATAAAGGCGTCCAAATTGAAAATGTAACGGCTTCATGAGAAGGAATATAAAGAAAAAGTAATGCTGCATTCTTCATTAACCAAAATACACTTTATCTATTCAATCGTAAGAGGTTAGAACAGCAGTAAAAATAATCATTTGTAAAAATAGCACTTTATTTAAGGAAATGCATAATCTGTCACCAGTGTTTAAACAGAAATAGTGTTAAAATATTTTATATTGCTGATCGGTTGTTTTGAGAATAAAGCCATTTAACTGATATTGGCTGGGTTTTTTTGAACAGTAGCAGATCCTTAAAATACATTTTTATAACTTTATTTTTGTAATAATTTTGAAAGGAGTATTCTAGTAATTATGAGTGGAAATAATTTTCTGTTTAGTAAATACAATTTTTTGTTGAGCAATTAAAATGCAAGTCATCAGAAGCCTCTGATGCTCTATTTATTTTTCTGAAGACTCACAAATATGTAACTTTACCACTGGCTGAATTCAGTGTGAGTCCAGGAGCACTAGTGCAGGTAAAGTCAAGAAGATCTTGGAGCTCCAATGCAGAGGACTGATCTCAGTTACTTGTGTACAAACCTAAAGATTTTACATTTCTCCACTCTCCTTACTGTACTGGTTTTAGTGGTGTTCAGCGAAAAAAGGGATGGAATTGAGTGTAGTGATAGACAGAGATAACAGCACTGGAGGAATGATGCCCCTGCTGTCCCTCAGGTGCCTGAGGGTGTCTCAGCTGGTTCTGTGGTGGCTTCATTGCTTTGGCCATCTGAGGTAGGGCTCCAAGTTGCTGACAGCAAACAGCAGAGCAGCTGACCTGTGCCAGGTTATGCAGCTGTGCCATATCAGAGCTGATCTTGAACACAGGTAGCTAAATCCCTAGGAGGAAGAGGAGGAGAGGTTACAAGGGGAGTATTGCAGAAAAAAAGATGGTTATGAGCTGATTAGGGCAATCAGAGCCTGTTAGTACCCTGAGGTCCTTGGCGGTCATGCATTACCATGTCAGGTATAAAAAGTAATTTTTTGTTCCGTTTTTCTTTTTCAGTGCATGTAATGTCAACAGACTTATAACACTATCAATATTCAGCACGGTATTTTATGTTTCAAATGCATCGTAAGCCCAAGGAACTCACTCTTTAGGTAAAATTGTGCTTCAGGATTAGTTTCGGCTAATGGTAAAAATATGCAATTTCTGCTTTCACTGTTTTTAAGAGCTGATGCTAAAGATGTCATGGCCGGACAGATCTACAAAAATGTTGGGTGCAAACCATGTAGTATTAAGCTAATGGCCCTGTCCTTTCCTGAAGAAATGTGGACAGTTTTGGTTAAAACACTTCAACATGCAGCAGCAAAATAAATGCAGCTTCTTATTAAGACTAGGAAACAGTTGCTGCTTCTGAGCCAAAAATGTGTGGTGGCACCTTGGAACCCCCGTCAGCGTAACTGGGAATAAGTGCTCTGTAATGAGCCGAAACATCTCGCCTACTACCTGGTGCCTGGGTACAGTTTTGTGCTTTTAATGCGGCAGGTGGCAATCCAAGCATCCAATACACTCGGCAGAGAGTCGCCTCAAGCCCACTAATAGGGAAACCTCAGGGTGAGGAGGCTTCAGCCATCCCTGGTAAGAGCTTGTGGGCCTTATTCTTTGGGAGGAGAAGTGCTCCCCTAAATTGAGGGGGTGGATGTTCATTTTTTTGTAGGTCCTTTTCAAGAAGACGTTGAACAGTAGTTCAGTGTGAAAAACACTTTGCAAGGTTGAGAGATACATTTTTTCTACAATTCAAGAGGGTTCAAATTCATATATACTACTGCTGTAGGTACCCTGCAGGAACCTCAAGGCTTTAAGGCAAGGTAGGGGCATGCTTCATTCCCCTGGCTGAGTCTGTCTCACTGTGCGGAGATTCATGGAGTGTGGCCCTGTAAGACATTGGTCTAGGATGGGGAAGAGTTAGGCTTTAGTTCCTCTAGTTGATATATTTACCAATTCCTAAGCTACATAGTGACTGAGGATAAAAAGTGCTATAAATCTGGGAATGTTAGCTGAAGTGCATCAAAGAACGAGCAGCAAAGAGATTTAAACAGAACACAACACTGTTTTAGGGTGCATCAAGAAGAGTGTGGCCAGCAGGTCGAGGGAGGTCATCCTCCCCCTCTACTCTGCCCTGGTGAGGCCGCATCTGGAGTACTGCGTCCAGTTCTGGGCTCCCCAGTTCAAGAAAGACAGGGAACTGCTGGAGAGGGTCCAGCAAAGGGCAACGAAGATGATTATGGGATTAGAACATCTCTCATATGAGGAAAGGCTTAGGGACTTGGGTCTCTTTAGTCTAGAGAAAAGAAGATTGAGGGGGGATCTTATTAATGCTTACAAATACTTAAAGGGAGGATGCCAGGGGGATGGGAACAGTCTTTTTTCAGTGGTGCCCATTGATAGGACGAGGGGTAACAGGCAGAAGCTTGAACATAGGAAGTTCCATCTTAACATGAGGAGGAACTTCTTTACTTTGAGGGTAGTGGAGCACTGGAACAGGCTGCCCAGAGAGGTGGTGGAGTCTCCCACTCTGGAGACATTCAAAACCCTCCTGGACACCGCCTTTTGCAACCAGTTGTAGGTGACCCTGCTCTGGCAGAGGGGTTGGACTAGGTGATCTCCAGAGGTCACTTCCAACCCTAACCATTCTGTGATTCTGTGTCGGAGGAGACCAACCGGCGCACAAGTGTAGGCTCTTTGTGTTTACGCAACAGCCAGAAAGGGTTCCTCAGACTGTCCCGTCAACAAGTCCCACTATCTGCAAAATTACCTTTATTAACACGGGAACAAAAAGACACAGTTTTAGAGTTTGGGAACCTTTCATATCTTCTGCTGCACTTACTTCTTAAAGGTGGTCTGTTCCTTCTGCCTGATTTAGTTGCCATTGTAAGTGAAGAAACAAAAGGGGTTGCTTACCATGGCTACTTATGGCCCTGAGAGGAGGTGAGTTTGAGACCCACACCTACATTTATGTGTCTCTGTGTAAGGGCTGACGTGGGTATCTGTATAAACTCCGCTGTAGGCATGGCAGGTCTGGTCAGTACTGCCACTGGGGCCTCAAAAACCAGTATCTGACCAGCCTAGAGCAGAAGCTTCATTCAGTTGTCCAGATGTCCATTGGCACTTGTATGCCCTAAGGCATCCCAGCCACCCCTCGGGGGTGCCAGATGTGACACTAAGTGAAGGTGATGATTGGTTTGTTTGTTGCAAACAGTCATTCGGACAAAGAGACTGTTGGGAGATGGAGACAGTCATTTCACTGACCTGGCCTGATTTGTCACAGACATTCAAAGGTGAAAAGCTGTTTCCCATTTCCTGTTCATTTTCTGTGTCCTCCTTTTTAGTTTAAATGAAAATCTTTGTTAGCGAAGTTTGCTTACCTCATAAGGAAAAGTGGTACCTTCTGGGTTTTGCCGAAGAAATAAACACTACAAGAAACAGTTCTTGTTCTGATTCAGTCTAGAATTATGGACTTAACTAATCCGTAGTTGTTAACCCTAAAATGTCTTGAAATTAATTTTCTTTTTTTCTGCACTTTGAGAATTAATCAAGATCAGATTTTAAATAAAGATACTTTGTTACCTGGAAATGATTCAAGCAGTCATCTGTAGTATTTCTTGTGCTTCAGCAAATGCCTCAGAAGCCAGGTAGCTTCTCAAGGGAGCAACTTTGGTTTCCAGAGTGAAGGGGAACATAAAAGTTGATGCAAACAGATTTCTTTAATACCAAGATCGCCTTAGTTTAGAATTGCTCAGCTGGTCTGACTCTGACACTAATAGCCTCAAACTTGCCACTTCTAGGTTTTATTTTATTCCAAAGCCCTCTTGGCAGTACAAGGGTACATTTAGTGGGAACAGGCTTTGTCCATTAAACCCGAAACTTCTTATGCTATATTTAAAGTGCATTTGGAATACTTAATTTCCAGTCTCTCCGAAGTTTGTATTATTGAAATAAACTGTTAATGCAATGTCTTCCTTAAAGTGCCACAGCGAAGAATTGTTTCGAAGCAACTTTTGCTGCTTGCCATTCACAGCACTCCAATGTGCGTTAAAACTTAATGGAATTAACATGCAGTTGTAAAACCAAAAGCAAATAGATTTTGAAGTATGATTGCCATATTCCCACCATTGCATCTATTGCATTTGAATTGGCTTCTTGTTCCTCTCAGTTCTCATCAGTAGGTATGTACAACACTTTCAAAGTAGGTCTGTCAGGTCTTAAGAGGAGTGCCATATCATGGCTGTTAGCCGAGTGCCTAGTGCCGTAGTGGAGCGGGGTTCTTGAAGGTGTTAAACAGGTAAATGTGAATGTAGAGTCACACTGAATCACAGAATGGTCGGGGTTGGAAGGGACCTCCTGAGATCATCTGGTCCAACCCCCCTGCCAGAGCAGGGTCACCTACAGCAGGTTACAAAGGATGGCGTCCAGGCAGGTTTTGAATGTCTCCAGAGTGGGAGACTCCACCACCTCTCTGGGCAGCCTCTGCCAGTGCTCCACTACCCTCAAAGTAAAGAAGTTCCTCCTCATGTTTAGATGGAACTCCCTATGTTCAATTTTG